ACATATATTGAGAGAATTCTAGAGAGATTTGGTATGGAACATTGTTCAGCTAGTATTGTTCCAATACAGAAAGGGGATAAATTTAGTTTGATGCAATGCCCAAAGAATGAATTAGAACGAAAAGAAATGCAAAATATTCCTTATGCATCTATTGTGGGAAGTTTGATATATGCACAGGTTTGCACTCGTCCAGATATTGGTTTTGCAGTTGGAATGCTAGGCAGATACCAAAGCAATCCAGGAATGCATCACTGGAAAACTGCAAAGAAAGTTATGAGATACTTACAAGGAACAAAGAATTATATGCTCACATTTAGAAAGACTGGTGAGTTAGAGGTTATTGGTTACTCAGACTCAGATTTTGCTGGATGTGTGGATAATAGAAGATCCACTTTTGGTTATTTGTTCCTTTTAGCTAGAGGGGCAATATCATGGAAAAGTGCAAAACAGTCTATTATTGCTTCATCAACTATGGAGGCTGAATTTGTAGCATGCTTTGAGGCTACAAATCATGGTTTGTGGTTGCGGAACTTTATTTCAGGATTTGGTGTTATGGATTCAATTTCCAGACCGCTGAAAATTTATTGTGATAACACCGCAGCTGTCTTCTTTACTAAAAACGATAAGTATTCCAATAGTGTTAAGCATATGGAGCTGAAATATCTTACCGTTAAAGAAGAAGTTCAGAAACAACGAGTGTCTTTTGAAAATATAAGCACACAGCTTATGGTTGCAGATCCATTGACAAAAGGATTACCACCCAAGACATTCATAGGGCATGTTGAAAGAATGGGTCTTGAATGTAATCAAAGTTAATTATTATTTTTTGTTGTGGATTGCTTAACAATGCTTATATATATTTGACATTTTGAGCTCATTAAAATGTGTTTATGATATTTCCTGTTAATTTATGTATGTACATGCATGTATTACTTTAAATGATGAAAACAGGAATAGTCTTAGAAAAGACATTATTGCTAGACCTTTATTGATGCTTCTCACTTATAGACTATGTTAAATGGGTTGCTAGTGTTGTGGTACATGGAAGGGACCGTGTCGTTTAGTGACATACAACCGCCATGACTCACATTGGTAATTTGTTTACCATGGTATTTATAATGACCATATTAATATCTTAATTTGATATATTGTGCACACTAATGACTATTTTACTAAACCACTACAGAAGTTATCATATGTGCCAAGTGGGAGAATGTAAGATAATTTATTTAATTGTGGCCCACATGATTTGGACATGTGACATATTACTTGGTGGCTAAGTAAATAGATATCAATTAATTATTCTTGATCAACTTATAATTACCTTTTTGGTAATTACTTATTGGAGAAGTATTTTCCTTTTCATTCCTTACTTTGATGGAAAGTAGAATTGTATTACTAAAAGGAAAACTGGTCCTCTCTCTGCCTTTATAAAAGTGCATATGCTCCATCAATTATGTACGATTATTGAAACAACACATAGAAGGTTATTGTGTGCAAAAGGCCAAGAGAGAGAAACCAGTTTCCACCTTTATTTGTTGATCAGAGTTGCAGATTGGTTCGTGGTTAAAGGATCTACATTGGATTTAATCTCAACAAGGTTCGATATCATGAATAGAGGTATGTATATCTAACTATATTTATTTATGCGTTATAAGGATGTGAAATTAATTGAAGTTCTAAGATCTAGGGTTTTATGATAATTTGTGATTAAAGTCTAACACAAATTTAATTAGAGTTTTTACAATTAGAGCCAGGATGGTCTACCTGTAATGAGGGCATTGCAAGTTCGGCACCACCCATTCGAGAATGGTCAAAGGAGACATCCCCCATCTGGGAGATGTCGAGTAGGCAGGCTGTCTGACCCCAATGAGGGAATTGTAAGTTCGAAACCACCCATTCAGAAATGGTCTGAGACGTGGTTATTTATTTATTTTTTTTAAAATGGTCTGAGGAGACATTGTTGATTCATCTATCTACATATTTTAAACATGTGTATGAAGGAAAATGGTCTGAGGAGACATTGTTGGTTGTTTACGGTCTGAGGAGACATAGTTGGTTGTTTTACTTTGATTTGTTGATCGGCACTTCATTTGACCAAAAAACATCGCTAATTAGATTTACATGTGTTGGCAAGACCGTGTTTAAAGATGCATTGTCCAAGTTGGGCATCTCAGACCTCCACACACCAACTTGAGGAGGAGTGTTAGTCGAGATATGATAAGCCCAAATCATGGGATGTGACTTACCATATTATCTGAGATATGATAGCCACAAATCATGGATTTGACTTTATTTACGCATATGTTTAGGCATATAATATGCAATGATTTTATTTAATTTCCTTTATTGTAATATTTACATGTGATCTTTTTAGTTTATAAATATGAGAGTTGTGAATGAGCGTACATACATCTCATTCAAACCTTTTACATGTTTCTCTTCTCTTTCTTCTATATTATATTTCTTCTTTATCTATCAAACCTGCCCTTTTGTGTTATATATACACTATAATATCTCTATATTTATATTTCATACAATAAATTATATCAATATAATATTTATACATATAAAATTTGCAACTGAGGTCCTGTTTGACCAATTAATTAAATGCGTAAAGTGCAAAAAAAAAAAAAAAAAAAAAAAAAAAAAACCCGTTATATGAAAAATGTGCAAAAAACACCCTGCTATTTAGTTTGTGCACATAAATCCCTATAATTTGAAATTTTGTAACAAATTGCCCCGTGATAGTTAATTTTGACCATTTTTTATTTTATAAAAACCACAAAATACCCCTAATAAAATTTGTGCATATAAGTGTTTTTTATTATCATTATTTTCTTTAAGGGCATTTTAGGTATTTCATTCCTCAAATTGAGAAAATGTTGTGCACATTTTGTATATAGCAGGAGGGATCTTTGCACGTTTCCCTAATTAAATTGACGAGAGAAGTCGGAAAAGGAATTCAGATTGAATCAAGGTTGGCTAGAGCCTTAAGCGACTTTGGCGGCTGCCCAAGGCCCCAACCAATAGCATGCATTAGTAGTGGGCCCCTAAAAATTTAATTCATCTTATATCCCTATCCCCAACCAATAGCATGTATTAATAGTGGGCCCATGCAATTTTTTATTTTTTTTTTCCTAGCCAAAATACCTACATTTTTTTTGTTCTGATAAGTAAATTATATAAAAGCGTTCAAAAGGGGAACGCGTCCCAGACTATACAAAGACAAAACGGAGCCTATGAACTCAAAGAGCTCATAAAATCAACAATATCCTCAAGAGAGGAGTAGTCTCTCCCCTGACCCCAACAAAACAAATTACAAATGATAGAAAATTTTAACACCCCAATGGAGGATTCCTCAAAATACCTACAATTTAATTCATTCTATATTCATTCCTATTTAAAGGATAGTTAGTATTGGAAAATAATAAAATTTTGACTAGGATCCTCTCCAAGTATTTCCAAGGCAATATCCTAGTTTATTAAAAGTCCTATTTTTCATCTTTTTTGTTTTGTTTAATTTTCATCTATTCTCAAAAATATTTCCCCTTGCTACAATATCTCCATCTGAACCAAAATCTTCCCCGTCTCCCTCTCACTCCATCTCCAATTCTCTCTCCTCTCACAAGAAAGATTAAATGAATATTGGCCGAAAGAAGTTTTTCAAAGTTAAAAGTTCATAAAATCATACTTCCTAGCCTTCATTTATAGCCAGGTGGTGGTCGAGGTGGGTATGGATGAGATACTGTGGGTGGGTACCTTAAGAGGGGTTTTCGAGGTTAAGTCCTTCTACAATTGTATGTTGGAGCGTCCAGGCCCCATTTTTCCTTGGAAGGCCATTTGGAGGTCAAAAGCTCCACTGAAGGTTGCTTTCTTCTCATGGATCGTTGCTCGGGGAAGCATCCTAACTATTGATAACCTTAGAAAAAGAAGTCATATTGTGGTTAACAGGTGTTGTTTGTGCAAGACAACGGGTGACTATGTCAACCATCTTCTTATTCATTGCTCGGTGGCTAGGGATGTTTGGTCTATGTTTTTGGTTGCATTAGGTCTTTCATGGGCGTTCTCAGATTCCACGGTAGACTTGTTAGAGGCTTGAAAAGGGTGTACAGTGAAGAGCCGAGTCAGAGATGCTTGGAGGGCCCCTCCCTTTTGTATTTGGTGGGGTTTGTGGCGCGAGAGAAATAGGAGATTTTTTTAGGGAGAGGAGTCTCCCGATTAGGCTATTAAATGCCGTATTCTTACTTTTTTATTCTTTTGGGTAAATGGGCGGAACTGTGATTCAATAGATTCTCTTTTGGATTTTGTGGATAGCTATAGTGTCGTCTTGGACGATTATTGTCTTCTTTGGGAGCGCTGGCTTTTGAGGGCCTTTTATAAAATCTTACTTTAAAAAAAATAATAATAAAATAAAATCATACCTAAGATCAATTATGTCACCTAAAAAAAAAAAAAGGGATCAATTATGTCACCAAAAAGATTAAATGGACTATTTATATTATCTACTGGAAAAGATATTTTAGCAAAATTGAAATACAAAAGTGTAATTAGTAACTTCACATCAAGGTGATTTTTATTAAAAATTATCAACTACATATTATATTACCAATTAACTAGCGATATCAGCCTCTTACTTTGAGAAGGTCAGGAATTCAAGTCTTAGAGACTTGTGTGTGAGAATACCAACTATGAAAAAAAATAATAATAATAATAATAATAATAAAAATAAAATATATTCAACATTAAAAAGGCTCTCACTTGAGCTCACCCTCATTCATTGAATCTAAGACGTGCAACTCTCAGGACTCGAAGCTCGAGCTTACTAAGATTGTTTTGTGACAGACTTACACTTATATAAAACAACAATTACAGGAAACGAAACAAAAATCAATCATTCATACAATCAATACTGAACAGACCTATATATGAAACCGAATTGCGAGAATTTAAAGGGGTTCAAGTTGAGCAGAGAGAAGATAGATAGAGCTTAGACGAACCTCGCGGTTGCTGGCAATGCTGCCCAATAGTTTGTCGTGCAAACTGGTGAAGGCTGAGAAGAACGGAGAGAACAGTCTCGAGTCTGTGTGTGTGTGTGTGTGTGTGAGAGAGAGAGAGAGAGAGAGTGTTTGGGAGGAAAGGGACTGACAGAGGATGCGGAGGAAAGGAGAAGAAAAGAAAAAGAAAAAGGACGACAGAAATTGGGTTACAACTAGGGATGTGACGGATGTCAGTTGTTTAATTAGACGCTTATCAACTTTTAGGAGGTTCAGTTATCTAAGAATTTTAGCAATTTTAAAATACAATAAAATCTTTTTAAATTCAGTTTTCAGTATATAATTTTTTAAATACAATAAAATCTTTTTAAATTCAGTTTTCAGTATATAATTTTTTAAAAAAAAATTATCAATTAAAAGAAATTCAAATCTTTTTTTACATTTGTTATCCTAATACAATACAAAGACAGTACTAATGTAAATCGAGCTCAAATTATTGAGGATATAAATAGTGATAAACACTATATAGTCCGGGAGATGCTAGTGATTTTATTTAATAATTTGATCGGTTTTAAGCTCATATTAATTATTTATGTATAATATTTTTAGATTATTTATATAAACTTAGAAAAGAGAATTTATTGTGACATTGTTTGTTGAAATATTTCAACCCAAACTTAAGTTGAATTGGGAGACAAATTGAGTCCAAATCAAATAATTGAATATATATATATATATAGTGGCGTTTATGAGTGTTTTTTTTTTTAATATTTAAGGTAATTGTTTCTTTTTTTATTACCATTATATATTATTAATAGGAAATGACAAAACTAGACATGTTTTTAATGGAAACAAATTAAAATCAAATTGGTTAGCATTTTCTTTTATACGAATTTCTTTCCATCCGAATTCTTGAAGCATACTAATTAAAAATAAAAATAAAAATTAATTATTTCCAATTCCTTCAACGATAGAAGGTTAAAACATAGAAGGCAACCACATTTGAAAAAAATAAAAATAATGAAATTTCCAATCTCATTAACTTTGAATTGCCATGGCGTATTCCACCTCCATCACTACCACCTTCACCACCCACCCCGCCACTGCCACCACCTCTACCACCGAAAATTTCCAATCCCATTAACTTTGAATTGCCATAACGCATTCCACCTCCATCACAACCACCTCCACTGCCGTAGCCGCCACCACCTACCCCGCCACTGCCACCACCTCCATCACCGGTGGTGGTGGAGGTAGCGGTAGTGGCGGCGACGACGGGGGCAGTGGAGGTGGCGGTAATGCCAGGGTAGGTTGTGAAGGTGGTTCATTCAATCATTTCCTTTCTCTTTCATATTTTATATATTGGATTACATGATTTGATGATTTTGTTTGTCTTTGAATTCATTTTTATGCACACACATACAAATAAACATATTTTGAGAGTACAACATTCATTTGTAATTGGATTATTCAGTAAGTATTGTTTCACAGACATAAATTAATTATAAGGTTGAGAAGGGGACAATTATGCGTTAATTTTTCAACTGGTATGCTTTGAGAATTCCTTGGCTGAACAGATATGAACGAAGGGAATTGGAAATAATTAATTTTTTTATTTTTAATTGGTATGCTTTGAGAATTCGGATGGGAAGGAATTCGTATAAAAGAAAATCCTAAACATGTCTAGTTTTGTCACTTCCTATTAATAATATATAATGGTAATAAATAAAGTAACAATTGTCTTAAAAAAAGAAACACTGATTAATGAATTGCCGTAGGATTAGATTCTAAAGTCAAGATCAAAAGTGAGTATACTACTCTATGCTCACCAGGGAGCAATTGAACGCCACTGCATATATATATATATATATATAATATAGTTTTACATATATTAAACTCATTATTTTATTTATATTTGTATTGATCTAGGAAGCACGGACATTTCACCTAGTGGTACAGTGCTTCAACATGGGGACACAGCTCGGACACGATTAGAAGTGTCCTGAAATTTGAATATTTTATTTTCTAGTTGGACATGGTTAGAACATGTTTTGGACACTTTCAAGACACGACGGAGTGATTTTGTAATTATTTTTTTTAAAAAAAATGAAATTCAATAAAATTTAAAATATATTATGGAGTAATGGGAAAAAAAAAAAAAAAAAATTTAAAACAACAAACATTAAATTCAAAATTCCAAATTAGTGCTTTCATTCGTGATTATGTGGATAAAATGAATAAAAATAATTATTTTTCTATATATAATAAAATATTATATTTTTATTTTTTGACGTATTCATCCCATATTCGTGTCCTTATTTTTTGTAATTACCGTCGTATCCATATTGTGTTGTACTCGTGTTTGTATATGTGCTTCCTAAGTTTTGACAATATTCATTTTATCACTCCTAAAAATTTAAGTTATAATCGTTAGTATTCGGAAGGAAAAAAAAAAAAAAAAAAAATTAGGACGTTCACAGGAAAACTTTAAAATTGATTATCTTTGGAAAAAGAATTCCTTAATTTGTTAATATGTTTCTGTATCATTCTAATTATTTGAAATGTTGTCAAAGGAACTGACGTTTGATACACACATGTATTGGTAATTCTTGGTTCAATTTTTTATTTTTTTTTGTTATTTCTAATACAATTTTATTTATCAAAAAGAAATTGAGAAACTAAAAACAATGCAAAAAATTACCTAGTTGACAGTTTTATGAGAAGTTAGAAAGAAAATTTTGTTATGACATGACAGTTATTTGTAATTCTAAGAAATCATTATGTTTTTCGAATTATTGAAAACTGCTTTTTAAAAGACCATTTGATTTGTACTTTACAGCATCCACTCTCCATCGCAAACTGCTCCATAAAAATAAGCTCCATAAAGGATCGTTCATACATATCCATCTTCGGCGACCTAGGAAACATCCATCTTCTGAGACGGCTCAGAATATTAGATCAAGAAACACAAACTCTCAATACACTGACACCTTCTCGATTGTTGTCAAGGCTGTGATCTTGACATTAGTAGGTGTTAGTTTTGCTTTGGATAGTTTAGTGTCTTTTGGCACTGTATGTGTTTCTTTGTTTTGTGTATGGTCCAATGTTCTTACCCATGTAGATGCCGTATGGCGATTATCTTGCCACGTTATAAAACAAAACAAAAAAAAAAAAAAACAGAGAAATGGGTGACGGTTCCTATCTTCCTTTGTGTGTATACTGATGTGAATAGCTGCATGTGTCATGTGAGTGGGTAGCTGCGTGCGTGCGTGGGTGTGTGTGTGTGACAGCCCACACGCGCATCTGTAAAGGCTCAGTTGATAAATCATGATATATTCATGATCAACGAGGCAGAGAAGTAATTGTTAACCATATGCACACTAGGCACTGAACAAGAAAAGCGAGGTAGAAAAATTCAAGCCCAGGTGTACATACATATAAAACAGCAAATAAGGAGTTAAATTCTTATAAGTCATTGCCAGAATCTGTTCCCAAAATTAAAGAAATCCCAGATGAAGATACGAGAATCTAATCAATGACAATAGGAGAAATTGAAGTCGCGCCATTTACCCTTGCTAGCAATTCGGGTGGGAAGTCACCGCGGAGAATTTGAACTCTGAACTCGACCTTCCCGCTGCTGCATTCCTGGAGTTCAAATACCAATCCATCTCCATAATTTAGATTGTTGTCAATGGCAAATGTCTTCCAATGGAAGTCGAACCTTTTGTTGCTGCGATCTCCATAATAGGATGTCTCCCATTTCTTGCCACGACAGGAGAGAATCACTGGAACTGTAGCTTGAGGAAGTACCGACTGCATTTTGGTTGGAAGGACCTACAAGAATCAAACGAGAACGTCTATAAATTAGCTTAAGCTTATTTATCATATAATTTACCCCAACTGCTGTAAAATCGGAGCTTCCCAACTCTCTGCATTTTTAATATTGTGTTTGTCCAATTAACTGGACACAAAATGTGCTCTTAAACACACATTTACTTGCAAACACATAGATGATACAAGTGATATGGATATCATAAAACTGGCTCAAATTTTTGAACCATCAAATTAAGGATGTAGATAACACAATATTAGTCAAAGAAAGTGATATATTAATTAGATGGGAGAATTACTTTTAAGACCTATTAAATAAGGAATATCCTAGAGAAGTAGAAGGAAATGAACTTCACATGGGTATGATATATGAAGTCACCAATAAGAAGGTAAAGGACGCACTTAAGAAGATGGGGAGTAATAAAGCTGTATGCCCGGAGAGTATTTACCTATAGAAGCTTGGTAACCTCAAGTAACATAGGAATTGAGTGGCTTACAAAGTTGTGTTAACATTATCCTAAAAAAAGGCATGATACCAAATGAGTGGAGAAAAAGTACAATAATACCAATTTATAAAAATAAAGAGGATATACAAAATTGGGGCAACTATAGAGGAATTAAATTAACACTAGTGGCCCAGCGGTATTAGGCTCTTACCTCCCAAAAGAAGGTCAAGGGTTTGAGCCTCTATAGAGACATGTGCGTGTGAGTACCAACTATGAAAATAAAATAAAATAAAATATTAACAAGTCATACAATGAAAATATGGGAAAGGGTAATACAACAAAGACTAAGGAATCCACAGTTTCCAATAACCAATTCGGATTCAGACCGGGGAGACTTAAGGAATCCATAGTATCCGATAACCAATTCGGATTCACACCGGGGAGATCAACAATGGAAGCTATATACCTACTTAGACAATTAATTGAAGAATGTAGGAATAAGCAACAAGACTTAAATATGGTTTTTATAAATTAAAAAAAGAAAAAAGAAAAAAGAAAAGAAAACAAATATGAATTTGGTGAGCTCTACGAAGAAAACAAATTCCCTTACAAATCATAAAAATTATCCCAGATATGTATATGAATTCAAAAACTAAAGTTCGTACCTCATGTGGTGACATTAGTGAGTTTTCCATAAACTTAGGATTGCACCAAGGATCGGTGTTACGTCCATATTTATTTGCAATAAATTTAGATGAGATAACAAAAGAATTCCAAAATGAGATTCCATGGTGCATGATAATTGCCGATGATATCACACTCTTGGATATCTCCAAACAGAATTTAGCAATAAAACTAGAAATGTACAGAAATGCTTTAGAATCCAAAAGTCTGAGAATTAGTAGAACTAAAACCCATTACATGGAATGTAAATTAAGTAGAAATTCGAACACTGATAATATAATTATAATCCTTCAAAATGAAAAGATAACTCAAAACAACCACTTTCATTATCTAGGATAGATAATACAAAAAGATGGAGAGATGGATATAATAATGTAACTAGTAAAATTGGGATAGTCACTTCATGTACCATGTTGAACACCTAAGATCATCTCACTGTTCGCTGATATTCAAATGAATCAAATGATTATCCCATCACTCAATTACATGAGTTACAACCTTCACCTGATTGAAATCAAACAAGTCCTTCATTACCTGGGAAAATAGAATCATACAAGTCCTTGAGTAGAGTGATTACCATTTGATACAAGGGTTTGAGATGTGTTTTTAAAACAAAAGTATGGAAGTTTGGTTTCTTTGAAAGAGGCCAATAGTCATCATCTTCTGCATGAGTATCCATCTGGAGGTTTTCAACATGTTGGACCTGTGGCAGGGGCATTTTAAGTTCTGCTTCTGGAGCACTTGCCAATGGATCCATCTGAAAATAAAATAAAATTAGAATATTCCCAAATTGGCTTACATGAAAATATGTATAGATTAAGTATTCCATCAACACAAAAAATTAGGTGGTCCCACCCACAACCCATTATCCAATTGGAGGCCCAAGATGGACACTAATACATGAAACATGCACAACTAGAATTATTAGTATACAAAATATAAAATTAAATCATGTACAAAAAAAATGTCCTTGTTGTAAGATATTGTGCATCCTATCTGAAGCTCCCTCCAATTTTGGGGAGAAGCTATTCTAAATGAATCAATACATCCCTATATGAAAACCTAATCAAGTAAATCTGTAACACTGACCATTTTAACAATAACTATTTCTAACTTACCAACTTCTTGAGGTAAAGAGCAAACCATAATTTTCATTAGAGGTAAAATAATTCCACCTATAAATATATATAAATAAATAAATAAATATATATATATATATAAATATATATATATATATATATAACAATAATTCCAAAAAAATTATCAAGAAAACACTACAACAAACCCAAATACATCAAAATACCATGAATACAACATTTAATTTGTAATATATTTCCATAGTTCCCTATTCTGCAGAATAATGGAATGAGTTGAAAGACAGCAAATCCCTGTGTTCACCACATGCATTGTTTTCCTCGTAATAAGGCATTCTTAGATTTTCTTCATATTATCTAAAACAATTTCCATACTAAGTCTATGATTCAAAATTTAATAATGAAATGCCCAAGTAATTTCTAAATCCTACATTTTTCATTATGGTCCAATGACAGAAGAGCAAAAGATGATGAATGTGAATCTAGCCACTGTGCCATTCATATGGATAGCCAATACCAATAAAATAACATAGAAAGCACAAAAACCCAGATAAATACCTTCTCTAAAGATCTCAGAGACAACTGATATTAATTGAAATTCAATTTATTATGAAATAAACAATATTTCTAATCATTTTTTCACTCATCCTCATTAAAATTTACTTCCTCTTTGTAATTCTTCTTCCATAACTATCTTGCATCCTTCTTCCTCTATGCAATCTCTTAGAAAGTATAACACTTACCACACTATAGTAACTAATTAAACCACCAACATGACAGCAGACCACCCCCCACCAAAAAAAAAAAAAAATTCTCCTCCTCTCCCCACCAGAGAGAGAGAGTGCAGGTGTGTGATGCAGTGAATGTGAGAAAATAGAAACAAAAAAGAATACAGATATCAAATATCTTTCATAGATACAGTAACCAGAAACAAGCATCAATGGCAAAAGAAAAAGCCGTTGAATGCAGTGTCTCTCCAGCAAATCTCAACTTTTGTGCCTCCAAAAAACTGAAAAGGTGAAGAAATAAAAATAAAAACTAGCTTTGTCACCACTCATTACTAAGTGTTTTCTTTCTCGAAAACAGAAGGTTTTAACCAAGCCAATCAAGTCTTCCTCTTGTGCTCTTATAAAATATTTGGCCTCCCTTTGCTTCATGCCCAAACTGATCTTTCTGACATCCCATACAAGAACCTTTATGAGAAAAAATTGTAGTTTTTACATTCCCCCATTTTATTTCTTTCTTTTCCTTTATTGTAACACAGAATTTAAAATTGGAAACAAAAAACATGTTCAGTAAATATTAACAAGTAAAGAATCACATGAAATGCTGCAAGAATCAATCCAAGAACCTTTCTGCTGCAATAATGTCTCATATTCCAATTTAATTAGGTTTCTACTCTATAGTTGTATTTTATTTAGGAAAATACTTGCCGGGATATACTTGGTCTCCTATGATGCTTAAGAAATAATTAAGATTGGTACTTTTTGAATAGATACTTAGGATTTTGTTGAAACTTATTAAATTAAGAGATATGTGCCTCATGAGATAGGTTCATGAGGGTTTCAGATCCTCTTCCTCACAAGACCAGTAGAGATGTGGTATATGGTTGGTAAAGTGGAGACAACATTGATTGCTAGAACTGAGTCGTGTAGAGTGGTACACTTGAACTTCTCTACAAAATTATAGTTGAATATCCGTTCTCATTCATGAATGCAAGTTGGGTTGTGTCGAATAATGTCAAATCTTATATTTTTGTATGATTTCTTTTTTAAGTCTATCTCCAAGTGCATCTGTTTCCACCTAAGAAGACGGACACTTCTATGAGCCGCCTTGTCCGTGTCCGACACCGTCCTACACTCATGGACACTCCTAGACACGTGTCCGACACTTCATGGCCGTGTCCATTATTTAAAAATAATTTTTTATTATTTTGGACACTTAGCCGACACATTTTGGACACTTGATCGAGGGTCAACACATTCCAGACACTCGACCAACACATCCAACATTCTTCGTCTTATATAAAAGAAGCACATGACAGTTCCGGAAACAACATTATGAATGTACACCAAAGTGTTCAACCTCTAAGGAACAAAAATATAACTATAATGAGAGGATAGAATAATAATATTATACATAATATAACATATTCTTTTTTATATTCGAATAGTGTCATCTTCTTACTTATGTAACTTTAGTATAGAATTAATTAAAGTTCTATGATTGTCTCATTTAATAGATATATAAATTTTTTTTGATAAGTAAAATATATTAGAAAAGCGTTCAAAAGGGGAATGCGTCCCTAATACACAAAATGAAAAATGGACCTAAGGACCAATAGAGTCCAATAGATCAAATAAGTCATCATTCGAGGAGCAAGCGCTTCCTCTTACATAGCAGAAAAGAGAACGAAAAATATGAATTTTTAAATTTACTAAAGACGATTCCTTTCCTTCGAAGTTTTTGTTATTTCTCTTTCTCCATATACACCACCAAACACAGTGTGGAACCATCCTCCAATAATCACGGACATGATCTTTGACTGGGCATCTTCTCCATGCGTTAATCAGTTGTATAGTGTGCTTAGGCATTACCCAATGAACGCCAAAGATACTGAAGATGAGAGTCCAACAATCGTATGCCACAAGACAGTGCATAAGAATGTGATCCACGGACTCGCCGTATGTTTTACATAAACAGTACCAGTTAACAATGGTGTTACCTCTCTTTCCCAAATTATTCAACGTCAAAACCTTTCCCAAGATGGCAGTCCAAACAAAGAATGCGACTCTGAGTGGAGCTTTAGAGCGCCATATAGACTTCCATGGGAAATCGTGGCCAACGAAATTGGACAAACACAAGAACATGTCGTGTCCATGCCTTTTCTGTGTCCTACTCTTTAAGAATTTGACGTGTCGGCATATCCGTGCTTCTTAGGGTTCCATTGTCCCAACAGTTCGTTATATTTTTAACTATTGATCAACCGGAGTCTCTATATTCTTCTATATTATTGAGTATCTACCACTACGATATTCAGTTATAAAAAATATTAATCACTTTGAAAGAGTAGTCTAAGTGTTTTGACCAAATTAAACTAAGTCTAAAAAAGAGATCTTATATATTTAATATTTCAATTGAATCCTAACTTGAATCGTGTCCGACTAATCTATTAAAATGAAGAGTGAAGTCTAAAAAGTGACTCAACCACCTTAGATTAATTTAAAATGTGTTTTCTCATACATTTTAAATTTGGGTTAGTGCAAAAGGAGGCGATATTCTCACTCCCCTTTTCTACACTTGCACTCTACTTGCCTATTACTTCTAAAGAAAAGGACAAGAAGGTCCCTAAATTCATTAGTGCACAATCCCCTTTTATATAATATCATAATTACCCTTTATACTATAAACCTTAACTTTTTTTAACCTTCTTTATTTTTTTTAAAACCTTTTTTTTTTCATCCTGTTAAAAATGATAATTTATTCAATAGAGATATTTTTGGGGTCCTTTTTTCGGTATTTTTTTGTTTTGTTTTTAGGTCTTGCCAAAAGAAATAATTAATTCAATAAAGATAATTTATTCAAAAGAGATGAGTTTTTGTTTTTTTGTCCAGTCAAAAGAGAGAATTTATTTATAACTTTTTTCTTTCATGTCTTTTTTTGTTGGGAGGGGGTATTTGTTTTTTAGGTCCCCTCAAAAGAGGTGCCCAAAAAACTAAAAATAAATAAATAAATAAAGATTGGAGAGAGAGGGGGGTAGCCAACCATATTTGGAACGGTAATTGTGTAAATTGAAATAAATAAAAAAAATCATTAGTTAGCGTTAGAAGAGTCATTTCCTTTTAGATGGGAGTAAAACGAAGAAAAGAGGAGTGCCAATATTGTCTCCCAGTGCAAAAACCCCCGTTGTACAAAAACATGAATAAAACACCCCTCCCGTTTATTATGTGTATATAAACTCCTATAATTTTTGGCAATGTTGTGTAGTGACCCCTCCATCCTACCGACTGTTAAAAAGTAGTTGTTATCAATAAAACCCGCCCTTTTGTTGCATATATACAATATATTATATGTATATTGCATACATCTATATTTAATAGTACAATAAATGTTGAAGAAGATACCAAGACTAGGAAAATGACTTCCCTGCACCGGCTATACTTTGTCATCCATGTCATCAACCAATTATATCTTGACACATAAGTAAAATGATTTACTTTAGTGGGTCTAATTACTACGTGTCAGTATTTAATCAGTTGGTGATACCATGTCATCAATACAACCGGAGCAAATAAAGTGTTTCTCCAAGACTAGGAATTTGTGAATAAGAGAAGAATTCTGTATTTTCATATACACTCCTATTGTTACAACACAGACACTCCTATTGTTACAACACAGACAGAGAAATAATAACAAAAGGAAAGTACAACAAGTATGGAAAGTGTGCGAGTGTGCCGAGCTTTATGGACAATTTATAATTAACTATCACAACATTATGGAAAATATGTGGGTGTACTAAGGTTCATGGACAACTCATAATTAACTATCACAACATTAGTAATGTTTGCGCCTCTAGTCAACCACTACTACATCCATATTATCTGACTAGAGGAGAGGACTAGAGGAGCGAACAATAATGTTGTGATATTTAATTATGATTTGTCTGCACACTCATATTTTTCATATTGACACACTTTCCATACTATTGTACTTAGCTTTTCTTATATTTCTTTGTACCTATATATACATGTGTTGTAACAATAAGAGTATCTATGAAAAATATACTCTTATTCACAAATCCCTAGCCTCGGTATCTTTCTCAACATGGTATCAGAGTTAAAATTGATCTAATTTTGATCGATTCTCTCTCTCTTGGTTTAGTCTCTCTACTCTCGGTTCAGTCCCTCTCTATCCTCATCTCTCTCTCTCTCTCTCTCGGCATCTTTTGTTTACTCAGATTTTGTCTCTCTTTGGTTTCTTTGTGTTTATTTCTTTCATCTTTCTGCTTATTTCGTTCTCTTTTCTAAATGGGATACAAAAGAGTGTCCAGTATCACATTGAAGGGCTTATATTACCATCAATTGTCTCGGGCAGTAGGAGTGTTCTTGAGGGCTCGAGGGAAATTATTGTACATTCGATCACCCAAAAACCTACTGATGAAAAACTTATTAATGCCTGGAAAAGAAGATGCACAGATTATGACTTGGTTGCGGAATAGTTTGGAACCTTGACATTTTCAACAATGTATCATTTCTAGAATCTGTCTAGGATATTTAGGAGACTTTCAGAGATGCGCTCATTGGATAAAAATATTTCTCACATCGATCAGTTGTATCAACACATTTTTAATCTCCAACAAGGAGATCGCTCTGTCGAAGAATAATACTCCAAACTGAAAGGTATGTGGGAAGAACTGAATGCCGGGTTGCAAGTAAGGAAACTCCCACAGCTAGTGAAACCTTTGCTCGGGTTCGGAGAGCCTCCATTCATTCTCCTACTCTTATTGCTCATGTTGGACGACATCAATAAACTATATCAATATAATAGCTGTATGGGTCATGATGTTCATGCTCCAAAAAAATGTTGTGGTGCTCCCCCCTCATCGTACTCACTGAAACGAGATGACAAGAAAGCCCCTATATACTTTAGGCCCAAAAGACTTTTACCCACAAGAGACACATAATTCAAAGTGGTCTCTCTCTCGCTCTCTTTCCTTCATTGCCAACCACTGCTACATCCTCTACTTCAACCACAGTTTCTCTCTTATCATTGCAAACTTGCCACCCGTCCCCTCTCTCTCAAAGCTCACCTCTTCACTATAAATATTTATGCCTATTAAATAGGAGTTTTCTCTGCCCTATCTATTCTCTAATCTCTCTATGCTTCTCCATTACCAGTCGATCCAATTCTTAATATTTTTCAATATATTCTCTGAGAAACCATGGTTATTACAAAATAGTAGAAAGATTTGGCAATTCAAAGATAGAGTTATTGAACATGGGATTAAACTTCAAATTGTCAATTTCATTTAAATTTGATTCCATCTGGAAGTAACTAAATGTTGTTCACATCGAGTTTAAAAGTACAAATTGCATGAGATTCGCATCAATCATGAGTAGAGCCAGTTCTGTTCCTTTGGTAAGGTGATTGCAATCATTGTTCATGGTGATGGCATGGTGATGGATGTGTCACTATTTTTACTGAGTTGTTAGTGCTGGCGGATGCAATGAGGAGAAGACAGATTAGGGTTTGTAGAGGAGAGAAATGGTCAGGGAGGAAAGAAGAAACAATGTGTTGGAAGTGAGAAGAAAGAGGGGCTTTTCTGTCATTTCATTTAAAAAATTGAGTGGAGAGCTAGAGTATCTCCTTGGAGGACAAGGATCCACTAAGTTGAATCTCTCTACATTATCATAAATTAAATTGTTAAAAAAATTGACATTTGGCCTTTTAAAGATCCATGGCTTACAATTCACCAAATGCGTTCAACATCGTTCCCTAAACTATGCCGTTTCAAACATTTTTAATTACTGAATGCTGTAACACATTACAAGCCGTCTAAAAGTTCAACTTCCGTTAACGTAGACAACAGTAACTTACAGGATCCTGATCCCCTCTTTGGAGTGCAAATAGCACTACTCTATTTGTATTTATAAAAAATTGCAAATGAGATCATGTTTGACCAATAAATTAAATTGATTAGAGAAATCAGAAAAGGAATTCAAATTTAAATAGTAGTGCTTCAATTATATAAAGAAAAAAGCTCTCCTGTGAGCTCAAACCCTCATTCATTGGATTCAGAATATGCCACGCTAGGGCTCAGGCTTACTGAGAACACCTTGTGGTAGACTTACTCTTGTATTAAACAACAATTATAGCAAAATAAACAATAATTAATCATTTCACATAATCATTAGTGAACAGACCAAATTACGATAAATTACTAGCGTTGTCATTGAGGAAAGAGAGAGAGAGAGAGAGAGATTGTTAGACGAACCTTGTTGTTGCTGGTAATGCTGCCCAATAGTTGGTCTTGCAAACTTGTGGAGGTTGAGAAGTACGGAGTGAACAATCTCAAGGGAGTGTGTGTCTGTGTGAGAGAGAGAGAGAAAAGAAAGGGAAGGAGAGAAGATGCTGGTTGCACCTTGGGATTATCAAATGCCTCTGTTTTGTTAGATAGAAATTGAAATATAATAAGGTAAAAAATTGCACTTAGACTGCTAATTCTGTTTGGTTAGATAGAAATTTGACAGAATAAGATGAAACGTGAAAGTAAAAATAAAGAAAGTAGAAGGGAAAAATAAATAATTATTTTATTCTATTTGATAATTAAGAAAAAATTATTTAATGAATGGAATTTTGGGAGTTGATATTTACACTCCAACATACTACAATCTTAAATAAAATAATAATTCTAATCTTACCTTTACAAATAAATAATTATTACTTTTTAAATGACACAATTGTCCCTTATTATTTTCTCTCATTGTCTCTAATCTTTAATGATTTAAATATCTTTCGACAACACAAATAAAATAAAATAAAAATTGAATAATATATTTTTTTAAGTGACCAAAAAAAAAAAAAATTATTATGTTGAATAAATTGCTCTTTTGGCCGGATAAAAAAATAAAAAGTAACCATTTAAAATTTATCTCTTTTGACATGAAGAAAAAAAATCCCCATAAAAATATATTTATTAAATAAATTATCTCTGATGTCAATATCTCAAAATAATAATAATAAAAAAAGTACAAAAGGAAGATGATTAAAAAAAATTTATTTCTATTGAATAAATTATCTCTTTTGATAAGACCCAAAAAAAATTATTATTATTATTATTTTTATTGAATAAATTATTTCTTTTGACATGATTCATAAAAAATTACCAAAAAATAAAGTTACCTCTTTTGACAAAATTGAAAAAATGTCAATTTTCTTGAATAAATGTCTCTTTCGATTGTAAAAAAAAAAAAAAAAAAGTCACTATAGAATAAATTATCCCTTTTGACTGCCAAAAATAAAATTATTCGTATAGAATAAATTATTTTCCTTGAAAGGACCTCCGGAAAAAACAAAAAGAATGAAAAAAAAAAGATAGTAAAGAAGGTAAAAAAAAAAAAAAAATTAACGTTGTATAAAAGGTAGTTATGACATTATAAATTAAGGAATTATGTATTAAATTATTAATAAATGACACTCGTCTCTCTAAATTTTTAGTATATTCTTTGTAGGATAAATTTATGAGAAGGTAAGTGGTTATGAAAAATAATTTTCTGTCAAAATTTTTCTTTTTCTTCTTAACTAAATTTCTAAAGTGTTTAAAAATTTTGCAATTTTTTTTTTCTTTCTATTTTCATCTTCCCAAAGGGATCCGTTACCAAAATATTGGGAGATTGAAAGGCTTTTTGGTTCAAATTATCTAAGAATTTAATTTCAAACTAAATATAATTCATTTTAATTCCAGTTTTAATATATTAATTTTTAAAAAGTTATCAATTGAGAGAAATTTGATTTACTATATTTTACATTAAAGAATATTTTTATTTTTGTTCTACCTAAGCAAATGCTAGAGACTAAAACTTGCACAATTTATTGAGAATATACATCGTGATACAAAAATCATAGTACATGCTATGTGTGGAGATACTAGTGACTTTTACTTAATAATTTGATTATATTAATGATTAGTGTTAAGTTTATATTTATTTGAGATTAGAGTTCCCTTCTATCTTGATTAGATTACTACTAGATGATAAGAAGGATAAGGTATTGGATCCATCATCCATCCCCTACACCGTGCACAGGACTCGTTCACTCTCTAACTATTATAATTAAAAACAAACACCCTTTTGAATCAACCACTTAAAAATTACTAGTAGGATATTTAAAAGAATGTATAAAGTGCAAATCTAAATAAATTCCAGAGACACATTCAAACCAAAAAAAAAAAAAATACACACGATGCATACCATACTATACTACTAAGTCGCACAAGATTAGACAGTATTGAAAAGTTTTTTCCATTTATCAGAAGAAATTGCACGACTGCAAACTTACAAAAGTGTGGAAAATACGTGGCTACAATTTCATTTTTTTTTCCCAAATTACATTGTTTTCCTTCACGTGCCACGTGGCTGCAATCAGACGTATGTAAAGATGATCATGGTGGATCAGATCTAACACTGTGGATCAGATGATAATGTGAGAGCTCATCAGACGGTGGTCTACCTATCAAAGGGTGGAGAATGAGTCATCATCTACTCAGTGGAGTAATCATTCGTAACGAACGGTGAAGATTGAGCCACGTCAGCTCCACTCTTGACTTTTGTAGGTACGGTTAGAGGACAGAACAAATCTTCTTCTCCCTCACCCTTGAGTGAGAGAGACGAAACGACGCCGTCTGAACAAGCCGGTGAAGACGCCGGCAAAGAGTTCAGATCGTTGGAATCCGATTCATCTGGCGACAGAGACGGTGGTGGGAGTGTATCGTTGGTTACGGCATTCTCTACAACGTCCCATTTGGCTTTGCTGTTATGAATCGGAGCCGGAGATGGTGTTCCGACATGTCTGAAATCTGAAGGTCCACCGGAGAAGCTCGGTGCTGGAGAGTCCAAGTCTGTGGAAGCGGATTCCACCGGTGAAGGAGACGGTGGTAGGCGTGGATTTTTTGTCACAGCATGCTCTCCAACATTCCCTTTGGCTTCGCCGTGATGATTCGGAGCCGGAGATGGTGTTCTGACACTGCCGGAATGTGAAAAACCACCGGAAAAGTGACTATTCACCGGATTTCCACCGGAGAAGCTCGGTGCTGGAGAGTTCAAGTGGGTGGAAGCGGATTCCACCGGCGATGGAGACCCATGTCGGCGTCTATCGTTGGTCACAGCATCCTTTCCAACATGCCCTTTGGCTTCGCCGTGATGATTCGGAGCCGGAGATGGTGTTCCTACACGGCCGGAAAACTGATTACTCACCGGCTTTTTACCGGAGAATCTCGGCGCTGAAGAGTTCGAGTGGGTGGAAGCAGATTCCACTGGCGACGGAGGCGGATGTCGGCGCGTATCATTGGTCACAGCTTTCTTTCCAACATCCCCTTTGGCTTCGACGTGATGATTCGGAGCCGGAGATGGTGTTCTGACACGGCCGAAAATTGTAGATCCACCGGGAAACTGTCTACTCGCCGGCTTTCCTCGGGACAAATTCCGCGCCAAAAAGTCCAAGTCTGTGGAAACAGATTCAGCCGGCGACGGAGACGGCGGTCGGCGTATAATTTCGGTTAGATTATCCTCACCAGGAAACTGATTACTCACCGGATTTTCGTCGGAGAAGCTCGGCGCCGGAGATTGAACAACAGTGCTCTCGGAATCTGAAGATCCATCAGGAACTACACCTTCCACCTCAGAATCGCCCGAGTGAGTCGGCGCAGGCGCCAGAACTCCAGCCGACTGGCCGACATCGTCCAAACTTCGTGAAATAGAGATTACAGTCACCCACCGGTTGTGATAGATTACCGAACCGTCAATCATAGCACCGTCGACAGTAACGGCGCCGTCAACAGAGCCGATAACCACCGTCTTGTTCGGAGCTACAGTCTTGATCTGTGTTCCGACGGAAAACGTCCCAAGATCCGAAGAATCAAGCCGTTTCGCGATGACGTGGTGACGGAAATCGAACCGAAATCCGTCAGATTCCGAGAAGAGACGTGCGTCGGAGGGGGCCAAAACCGTCACCGCCGTCAAACTCATTAGATCGGACCGCCTCATCTCCATGGCCGTCGCGACCACACCAAACCCTCTCCTCCTCAAGACCTTCACCGCATGATCAAGAAACGATCGGTCCACCTCAGATTTGACCTCAACCGTCAGATCCGGAGACGCACACTTGGACGCAGAGGCGGGGTCCATCACGCCGTCGACGCCGTGGACGGTGAGACGATCGTCCACGTAAAGATCCGGCTGCCGGATTTTCACGGCGGCGATCGGCTTCCTGGTCTCGGCGAATGTCAGCTCTCCATTGCCGTTCTTGGAGACAAAGACGCAGTAGTTCTGATAGAACGTGACCAATTCGCCGGGGTTGGGGATCCCGGTGAGGTTGTGGTAATTCAAGGGTTGTTTGAGGGTGTGGTAGAGGAGGAGGGAGGTGGAGGGACGCGGAGGCGCGCGTCTGGTGGCGGTGAATTTGGCGGTGGCGAAGGAGAAGGCGAAGTCGGGTGGGGCAAGAATGGTGCCAGTGCCATTCCACAGAGCAGTATCAGTGGCAGCAATGATGCCAGCGAAGAGGGAGTAGCCCCTGGCTCGGAGGGTCTCGGAGGCAGCAACGGCGGAAGGCGGTGGTGGAGTGGCGGCGGAGGAAGCCAAGGAGAGAAAGAGGCAGAAAATGGGGAGAGAGAAAGTGAAGATCTTGAAGAAGCTTTGATCAAAGATTCTCATTGCTAGTGTTTCTTGGTGGTTCTTGTTGTTCTGAGAATTCTCAGAGATGAGATAAAAAGAGAGAGTTATAGAGAGTGTTTGTTGCAATGTTGGGTTCAAATGTAGGCTTCAGTCTCTCTCTACAAACAAAGAGAATTTCCGAAAAAAATGTTAGTTCAAATGTTCGTTATTTGGCGGTTACTGAGAGGTGATGATATTTTGGCGGGACAAACAGAACTTTAAACTTAATCCAATGGAATGGCTTTAATTGGCTAGTGTTGGATTGTTAAGGGCATGTTTGGAAGAATGTCCTCTGTTAGTGGATTTGTTAAGGGTGTGTTTGGATGGTGTCTTTTTGCTTGAAAGGACACCTCCGGAGGAAAGGGTTTTGCAGAGACTGGAAGTGGGTTTCAAAGTGGAAGTGGCATTAAAAGGAAATAAGAGGTTGTTGAAAGGGTAAATAGTGTGTCAAAAAAAAAAAAAAAAAAAAGAAAAAAAAAAAGGGTAACTAGTATTTCTCTATAAAATATATATATATATTTTTTTTGTGGACAAGCATGTTACCACTTCACTATGTGACCGATTGATGCATTGTTGAAAAAGCATTTGAAATAATTAATTAACTCACAAAATTAATACAAAATTACCCTAAAATATTTTCATAATATTTTCGTCACTAAAATTCATGACAACCAAAAAGTCCATGAAATTATGAGAAAAAGTCAATTTTAGAAAACCATATATAAAAATTTAGATTAATTAAACTTTCCCTGCATTCAAATCCCATATTCTCCATCATCAAACAATGCAATAAACCATCTTTTCTCTTCGTTGCATAGTGGAAATTCTTTTTATTAAAACTCTAAAAATCGATGAATTTTTTTAAAAAATAAATTTCACTGTTGTCAGTATTGACATGTGAAATGAGACTCTATCTTTATTCTACTTCAATTAATCATCTTAGGATTTAAAAGTGGGACAAGTCAAGGGGTACCACTTCCGAGGATCATTTTCGAATGTGGAAACAATAAGGTGAATTTAATGATGTTGAATCTGGCCTAATTGGCCTTGGAGGTGGACGGATTGCGCTAATTTCTCGGATGGAATTCTTTGATTAATGGCAGATTTTCCTATTGCTTGGTGAACCCTATAGCATCTAGCAAATGAACTTTGGTGTCGAAGGCATGGTGTTAGGACTTAGAACAAGTCATGAAAAAGAAAACTTTCTACTTTGTGACAATGGAATGACTTAGTGTTGCCAAAATAATGTACAAGTTTTCATCCTCATTCAAATCTTTTGGTTCTAAGGGTGACATAGTAATTGACACAGGAGCGACATTGCCGTATCTTCCAATAAATATGTACTTTTCATTACAATGGGAAATGAGACTTACGTTTGAAATTTGGAAAATTATTACATGGTTTTGGGTGTCAATTGAAAAGTAAGTGTGTAAATTTTATATTAGTTTTATTCTATTTTTTGTTTATATGTTAATTGATTATTAGTCTGGACTAATAATCTGATCCTATAAATTATTACATGGTTTGAGACTATTGGTTCTGATCAATCACAAAGTGATACATAAGCAAAAACGTGAATTAAAAATGGCATAAAGTCGACACATTACTTATGTATGGCTTCTTGAATGGTCCGAAATCATTTAATAATTTCTCTATCATCTAATTCGTACAAATATCCTCCAGTTCTTAGATTGTGGTAGGAGTATAAAATTATAAATATTTCTATTGTCACAGTGCATTTTGCTGGTGGAAAATGTGAAGTTGAATCGTGAGACCTTCACAAGAATTACCATGAATGTCTCGTGCTTTACAATATATATTTTCACTTTCTTTTAAAAAAATTATCTGAAATCATTTTATTTATTCCTAAATGACAAATTTTTTATTTTTTGTTAATTCTAAATTGCTGGAATAATTCCAAATCTTTTCACTACCCTTTTCCTTTAAAACGGTTGAGAGAAATCCGTAACCAAAAAAGCTTCCAACGGTAAACTAAATGAATCTGGGTCAAACAAGAAATCTGAGCCAAAAATTCAGTCTCGCCTCATGAAAGATGCAAAGTTTCAAAGTCTAGGCCGAACTTTATCTTCAGCAACGAACTCCACAAAATTCATTCACTGATTATCACATTGGGACTCGACCAATCTGTCTTATTCTCTAGCAAACTCACAAGCAAGTACGCCAAATTTAGAGACCCACTTGCTTTTTATCAAATTTTCGCAGAATTTCACCTACTAACAATGTTTTTCAATGGAATTCAATCACATTCACAAGAGCATTGACCCATAATGGGTTGTTCTCTGAGGCTTTGGAATTTTATTCACAAATGCGGAAATTAAAGCTTCGACCTGATACATACACCTTCCCTTCAGTTATCGATGCATGCGCGGGTTTTTTGGATGTTGATTTGGGTAGGCTTGTTCATGATCATGTGATGGAAATGGGTTTTGGGGCGGATTTGTATTTTGGCAATGCTTTGATCGGTATATATGTGAGATTCAATGACTTGGATAGGGCACGTAGTGTGTTTGATGAAATGACTCAGAGAGGCGTTGTTTCTTGGCATAGACTGATTTTGGGGTACAGTTCAAGTGGGTATTAGGAGGAAGCTTTGGAAACTTATCATTGTTCAAGAGTTGCTGGCAAGGTTCCAGATTCTTTCACTTTGTCCAGTGTTTACCTGCATGTGGAGGTCTGTTTGCTGTTGAAGAGGGTCGGATAGTTCATGGGTTGGTCTAAAAGATTGGTGTTAAGAGTGATATCATCATCAGTAACCTGCTTCTTTCTATGTACTTCAAATTAGATAGATTAGCAGATTGTCGGATAGTTTTTATGAGATTGCAGTTGGAGACAGAGTCACTTGGAACGCTTTAATTTGTGGTATTCTCAAGCAGGCTTGTATCAAGAGTCAATCAAGTTTTTTCTAGAAATGCTTCATAAATTTGAGCCAGACCTATGAACAATTACATCTGTTCTCTATGCTTGTGGTCATAAGGGAGATCTAGATTGGGAAAATATGTTCATGAGTACATGATGAATACTACAGCTAGTAATATTCTTATTAGTATGTATGCGAAGTGTGGTGATTTATTGGCTTCATGGGAAGTTTTTGACAGAATGAATATTCAAAATGGATGTCATGAGGAAGCAAAGAAACTTTTTTGAATGTTGAAAACGGAATTCAAACCCAATTGTTTCTCATATGTCAAATTGGGGCTTGATTCAAGTTTGGTTGTGGGAAATTCTCTTGTGGATATTTATGCTAAATGTGGCAGACTGGAGGATGCATTAAAATATTTGAGAGCATGAAAACTTGTGATATTGTAACATGGAATACCATTATTGTTGCATGTCTTCATTCTGAGAACAGTAGTTTAGGATTCAGGATGATCAGTAGAATGAGAACAGAAAGGATAGTGCCAGGTGTGGCTACTATGTTAGTTACCTTGTCCATGTGTTCCTTACTTTCTGCCAAACGTCAAGGGAAGGAGATCCATGGCTGCAATTTCAAGTTAGGGTTTGGGTCACATGTTTCAATCAGGAATATGCACTGATTGATATGTACTCCAAATGTGGTAGATTGAAGAACTCATTCCTAGTATTTGTGCAAAGGAAAACAAAAGATGTAGTGACATGGACTTTATTGATCTTTGCACACGGGAGGTATGGTGAAGGAAGGAGAGTGAGAGCTTTCAAGGAGATGGAAGCAACAGGTGTTATTCCTGGTCATATTGCTTTTGTTGTCGTCATATTTGCATGTAGTCATTCAGGTCTGGTTGAAGAAGGTTGGGCTTGCTTTGACTGGATGAAGAAAGACTACAACATTGAGCCAAAGATCGAACATTATGCTTGTATGGCTGATCTTCTATCACGATCTGGGATTTTGGCTGAAACAGAGGAGTTTGTTCTTTCCATGCCATTGAAGCCAGATGCAAATATATTCAGATAATACTGGGTATTATGTTTTAGTATCAAATGTATGCAGCGTTAGGGAAGTGGGATCAAGTGAGAATGATAAGAAAATATTTTGAAAGTTAAGAGGACTTAAAAAATACCCTGGATGTAGCTGGATGGAGATTCAAAACAGGGTTTATGTGTTTGCAGAGTATAAGTGGGAGCCGGCAAATATTTTATTAATTGTCATCAATATCCTGGATGACGAATAAGAAAAAACCCTGGTATAAAATCTATGATATTTTTTCAATCCCATGCATAAAATGTACGAATCTAGGGCCGACACTAGATTCATTCCCAATTTGCTTAAGTGACCTAGCACACCAAAACTCGATTGTTGGCTGGTGATTCCATACACATTGGCCCTATCCATTACACCTTTCACCCCATTGCATTTAGGTTCACAATTTCGTTCCATGAGCTTCAATAGCTGGCCTCCACATGGGGACATGCCCAGAGCACCTGGGCGGAGGAAATTTTGGGCTGCAGTATAATATGTTGCATTAGATGGTGGGTTATTATTTAGAGTATTGATCATTAGCTTGTGGAGCTTAATTCGCCATCAATACCAAAATCAAGCAACATAATTGGAGAGTGGATGTTACTAGTGCTGGAGATCAAAAGTTCATGGAGAAGTGGTTTTCGTAAAGAGCAGATCTGTTGAGCAGACGTTACTAGTATTGCATCATGTTCGTATGTCGTATCTGTGTCCATGCTTTATAGATTGTTATTTATTTTCTAAAAGTAAAGGTGTATTATATATGATTTTCTTCCTTTATGTGGAGTTTCTGAATGCCTGGAGTCAAAAGAAGAAGTGAAGGACTTGGGAATAGGGTGCAACAGATAGGTTTCTCTCGTCTCAAGCAATGTTGCAGTGACAATTTTATCTTTTCCGAATGCCCCATTTCTTAGGCATGTAAGACAATTCTTTTCATTTATTTTACGTTATGAAGGCACTGTAAATTTACTAATCGTGAAGATAAATAATAATAGCTGGTCTCAGCAATAATTTTTGCATGTTCTTTTTAATGGATTTATCTATTTTGTGCTTTAGCTGAAGGAATTTCAGCACATGGATTTGTTATTGCTGATATCATCCTACTATTATATTGTTGTATAAGAACTCTCCTTCTTCCCCTCCTCCCTCCCTCCCTCAAAACAGACCATATATCTTCTCATGGCTGTATTGTATCAGGTGCAAGCAAATAAATTATTTTAAGCATGAAATCAATATCTGTAATTTTTTTTGGAAAATGTAAGATCACAATTTTAAGGTGAAATATTTTAATGCTAGATTCAATAGAAGCAAATTATGTTGCCAACTTTAAGTAGTTGAGTAAGATTTGTTAATGATTCATGCAATTTGTTCATTGATAAAACAAAAGTCACAACTCACCCATTTATTAAACTATTTAAAGACAACCCATTTATTATTTAAAACTTGGCGGTAAAGAAAAATAAACAGAAGGCACAACTCCCAGAAGCAATTACTAGGAACTTTGCCTCACAAACAAACATCACTTTGAGATTGGGTGTGCCTCATGTGATCTTCATTCATGTGATTGTAGGAACTTTGAAGGTTCGTGCAGGGCTTTGTGAACTAGTTCATTTTGGTGCTGCTGCTGCAAGGTATTTCTCATGCATAGTTTGGCTCTTGTAATCAGCTTACCACAAGGCGGCCAGTGTTCTCTGATAACTGGAACATCTGAGAAGTTTTTCATCCAGGCGAATATCAATTGGAACGTTTCTGAATCTACCACTTTAAGACCTGTTACCTCTTCAAATACGCTGATCAAATTAGCCATCCAAGCCAATGCAAGTTCTAGAAATCCAATAGTCTCTCCGCCGAAGACTTTTTTTCCTCTTATCTCTTCTTCTATGAATTTCAGGTTCTCCATAAAAGCAGCTGTAGCTTCCTCTTGCTCTTTTCCTTGGGTATGCAAAACATGCCGTGCTGATGGCAAAAGTTTGAGGGAAGAAGATGTAGTAAATGTTTGGTTAGATGATGCTTATAAACAACTTTGTAAACTAGCTAGAAATGGTTGGTTTTATGTTTTGGAAAATTATTTAAATCTATATGGTTTGATGCAAGTATATAGATACTAAATTATTTACTGATATGTTTTATTCAGGCCAGACTTCAAAACACATATGAGACTCTGGTATTTACCTTGTCATCATTGAATTTAGCCCAGAAACGTGCCATGGCTTTCTCATAAGGATCTTTTGGCAATATGGGAGTGTTTTGCCATGTCTCCTCGATGTATTCAAGAATTACAAGCGATTCTGCAATCGCGTTTCCATCATGCACCAGCACTGGAACCTTTTTGAGAACAGGATTGTGCTGGAGAAGTAAAGGGCTCTTGTTGGTAAGATCTTCAAATATGGTTTCATATTCTATGCCCTTAAGTTTCAGTGCCCAAATGATCCTCAGGGCAAATGGAGTTGACCATGTCCTGAAAAGCTTTAGTTCTGCCATTACAAACTGTGATAGCTAGGTCCTTCCTACTTTTATTGCCCTTGAATTTTCAATATGGTTTGATGGCAACTTCAATTCTGACATTATGGTTTGATGGCAAATGGCTCTTTATTTATTTTTTATTCTTATTTTTTGTTGGAATGTTGTAACAAATCCCTATATTTTTCTGTATATCTATGTAACCCCTTGAATTTAGATAATTTACATGCTACCCCTTGAATATTCAATACTTTCTAAATTTAATTTGATATTCAATATTAGGTAATCAATGCTCTTTATTTTTTCGACAAGACTGCAGGATTTTTTTTTTTAAACTTGTGATGATAATATATGGTCCAAAAATGTTAACAATTTGTTGATTAGCCGGCGCTGAGCTAATAGTTTGTGAAGGAAAATTGTGAAACACACTTGAGAAATCTATATCTATACTTCTTATAAAAGTATAAGGATTTTTAATTGTTTCTATACATTTTACATATTTCTTAAATACAAAAATAAGGTCACGCTTTGGATATATTCAACAGTTATGTGCGATTTCTAATCCCAAAATTTAACAAAGAGGAAAAAAGAGATTGAACAACTCTTGACCTGGGATATTTTGGCTTCCACTCCACCGTCTGCGATTGCATCCCTTTTACAGACCCACTCCCGGTTCTTGCTCGTGCTGAGGCGGGTTGATACAACTACAACAGGGTCAGCGGTATGTATTATTGATCATTATTATTCTATTATTTAATGTTTCTTTTTCAATTTCTTTCTTGATTTCACCACACTTTGACGTTTTCTACAGTTTTCTATAATTTTTTTTGTCCTATTGATGCTTTTTTTTTTTTTTTTTTTGTTTATTGTGGCATTACTTGTCCAACCATTGATAATAATTCACAAACTGCAATATTGTTCTTCTTTATATTCTATTCCCATTCTTGGATTGGCATATGCTGACAAGTACCATAAATAATTATATAATGTGACAATATTACTGTCTAACCTTTTTTTTATTCCTTTTACTTCTGCTTGTTATCATATATAGAATTAGTTGGCGATTGTTTTGGTCATGTTACAGCAGAAATTAGTTAATGAATTCAAAATTTAGATTCACATCTCATCAAGTATGCATCATTGCTAAAATCATAACATGCAATATTTACTTGATGTTTATAGAAGGCCGTGACTAAGATCAGTCTACTACTCTAGAATGGCAGTGCTTTCTGCTTTCTGCCTCTCTTGTTTCCTTTTCTTTTCTTTTATTATTTCTTATTTTTTCTTTTTGATTTTTCAATCTGTCTTCTTTAAGTACCTAATTTTATAATATTACCCTATAATGTGGTATGGCCTTCACTTGGGATTTTGCCATGTTGTGTGGACTCAGGACTGCCGACCTTTTTCTTTATGTTAACTTCTGTTTGTTATCATATATAGAATTGGATGGAAATTGTTTTTATCATATTATTCGAGAAATTAGTTAATGATTTAAGATGACTAATGGGAAAGTATGCAGCTAAATCCACGACAGTTTTCAATTGATTGTGTAATATTGTGCTACTTTAATACCACGATCAGTTTACTGGTATAGCATGACAGAGCTTTCAGCCTCTCTTGTTTTCTTTCTTTGCTTTTTTTTTTTTTTTTTGTCCCCTACGAAAGGTCAAGCAAACACACACGCACTATATTTTTTTCCCCACCAGAGCTCAAACCTTCAACCTTCCCGAAGGGGAGGAGAGCTTATACCATCTAGGCTAGAGCCTATTGGAGAGTGGGCAAAGCGGACAATATCTACACAACGGGGGTCGCGACATCTGAAGTTTGCGCAAGTTTTACTGACTACTCAAAACTCGATCCATTGAGCTTATAGTTTGATCGGTCACTCAACAATGATTTTGATTGGTCAAACTGCTACTGCACCAACCTTGACTTTTCCAAGCTTTAGCTCTATTGATCCAACGTCTGCTAGACAAATCTCGGTCGATTGAATCTTTAGATTGACTTATCGACTATGCCATTCTAACTACATTCTGAACTGAAGAATTATTATGTTTCCAAATTTTGACCTTCATAATCAATCCTTGTGAGGATTTATAACAAACTGTAGGCAAATTTTGTAAAAAAAAGTTGGAGTCTATAGTTTTTGTGTTGTTTTCAGAATTAAGTTTAGTTAGTTAGTTAGTAGTGATATCTATTTCCAAGGGCAGAATCAGATTTTGAAGATTCGGAAAGGGAAAATATTTAATATCATTTATTGAATAACTAACTCACCAATTAGGGTTCATAATCATACATTTTTATTTTAGGGCACAATGCATACATGTTTTGATTCATGATAAAGATGTTTTGAATGCATAAAATTATTTTTAGATCAAACTTATTTTAACCAGTAAATTTTCACAAAAACAGTAAGCCTCCATCAATATGTCGATAGATAAAAAAAATTCAGAATTTTTTTATTGAAGTCCAAAATCTTTGATCATTGAAAAAATTCCAGTAGGTTCAATCAATAGCTCAATCATCATCGACTTCTGCACGAAATGCTTTGGAAAGTCTCTCAAATCAGAATTCTAAAAGGTTTAAAAACCTGTTTGGTTTGGTTTTCTAACAGCGGTTTTATGTTTTCAGAGAACTGAAAATCATAAAACTGTACAACAATATGTTTGATTGACACTTTTCTGAAAATTCAATTAGAAGAGGTTTGTTTTTAGAGAACATTTTATTATTTTATTTTTATAATTCTCTGAAAACATTTTTTTTGTTTTTGAGAACTGCTTTTAGAAAATTGAACCAAAACAAGCCTTTTGTTTTCCTTTTCTAATTATGACTAAGAGACTAATATTTTGGAATCGAAGCACTATAGTAACACCTCTAAGCTCTCATGATACACATAGAGATATGGAGAATACATACGAGATTTTTAAATGAGCATCGAAACACAGTGCATAATTTTCTTTCCATCATCTAGTATGTTATCATTAACTTGTGGAGCTTAAATCATCATCAACACTGAAGTCACGTAACATACTTAGGGAGCGGAAGTTACTAGTTTTGGAGATCAAAAGTTTATGGAGAAGTGGATTTTGTAAAGAGCATATCTATGGAGCGGATCTTACTAATATTGCATCGTGTTCATCTATGTCCATGCTTTATAGATTGTTATTTATTTTCCAATACTATTGGAGTATTATGATTTTTTTCATTTATGTGGAGTTTCTGCATGCCTGGGGTCAAAAGAAGAGGTGAAGGACCTGGGAATAGGGTGCAACGGATAGGTTTCTCTCGTCTAAAGTAATGATGCACTGGCAGTTTCACTGTTCAGCAATATTTTTTGTTGGATTTATCTATTTTATACTTTAGCTGAAGGAATTTGAGCCATTGGATTTTTTATTGTTGATATCATCCTACTTGAAATGAATATATTGATGCTTAAACTTGTCTCATCAGCACGACAATAATTATCTTCTAATAACTAAATTATATTAGGTGCAAACAAATGAATTATTTTAGGAATGAAACCAATATCTGTAATTTCTTTAGAAAACGTAAGATTACAATTTTATGGCGAAAATTTTTAATGCTAGATTCAATAGTTTTTATCTTTGCAATTTATGTTGCATACTTTAAGTAGTTGAATGAGATTTGAATGATAAAGAGTCATGTAATTTGTTCATTGATGAAAGAAAAATGTCACAACTCATCTGCTTATTAAATGGGTTAAACACAACCCATTTATTATTAAAAACATTGCGGGGGAAAAAAAAAACAATAAACAAACAGAAGGCACAACTCCCAGAAGCAATTACTAGGAACTTTGCCTCGCAAACAAACATCACTTTGAGATTGGGTATGCCTCATGTGATCTTCATTCATGTGATTGCAGGAACGTTGAAGGTTCGTGCAGGGCCTTGCGAACTGGTTCATTTTGGTGCTGTAGCCTGTAGCTGCAAGGTATTTCTCATATATATAACTTGGTACCTGGTAATCAGCTTGTCTCGAGGCGGCCAGTTGTCTCTGATAATTGGAACATCTGAGAAGCTTTGCATCCAGGAGAATATCAATGGGAATGTTTCTGAATCTACCAACTTAAAACCTATTACCTCTTCAAATACACTGACCAAATTAGCCATCCAACCCAATGCAAGGTCTAGAAATCCAATAGTCTCTCCACCAAAGAAAATTTTTCCTCTTAGCACTTCTTCTATGAATTTAAGGTTCTCCATAAAAGCAGCTGTAGCTTCCTCTTGCTCTTTCCCTTGTGTGCGCAAAACTTGCCATACTGATGGCAAAAGCTTGAGGGAAGAAAAAATAGTAAATTTTGGTTAGATGATGCTTATAAACAATTTTGTAAGCTAGCTACAAAAGTTTGGTTATATGTTTTGGAAAATTATTTAATCTAAATGGTTTGATGCAAGTATATAGATATTAAATTATTTACTAATATGTTTTATTCAGGGCCAGACTTTAAAACATATATGAGAGTCTGGTTATTTACCTTGTCGTCATTGAATTTAGCCCAGAAACGCGCCATGGCTTTCTCATAAGGATCTTTTGGCAATATGGGAGTGTTTTGCCATGTCTCCTCGATGTATTCAAGAATTACAAGCGATTCTGCAATCGCTTTTCCATCATGCACCAGCACTGGCACCTTTTTGAGCACAGGATTGTGCTGGAGAAGTAAAGGGCTCTTGTTGGTAAGATCTTCAAATATGGTTTCGTATTCTATGCCCTTAAGTTTCAGTGCCCAAATGATCCTCAGGGCAAATGGAGTTGACCATGTCCTGAAAAGCTTCAGTTCTGCCATTGCAAACTGTGATAGCTAGGTCCTTCCTACTTTTATATCCCTTGAATTTTCAATATGGTTTGATGGAAAATGGCTCTTTATTTGTTTATTTATTTATTTTTGGAATGTTGTAACATATCCCTATATTTTTCTGTATATCTATGTAACCCCTTAAATTTAGATAATTTACATGCTCCCCCTTGAATATTCAATATTGTCTAAATTTAATTTGATATTCAACATTAGGTAATTAATGCTCTTCATTTTTTCAACAAGACTGCAGGATTCTTATTTTAAACTTGTGATGATAATATATGGTCCAAATATGTTAACAATTTGTTGATTAGCCGACACTGAGCTAATAGTTTGTGAAGGAAAATTGTGAAAACACACAAAGTGCAAGAATTTATTGAGAAATCTATATCTATCTATATCTATACTACTTATAAAAGTATAAGGATTTTTAATTATTTATTTACATTTTTCATATTTTTTAAATACTAAGGTCACCTTAGAAATCGCAGACGGTGCGATTTCTAATCCCAAAATTTAATAAAAACGAAAACAGAGATTGAACAACCCTTGGCCTGGTATATTTGGCTTCCACTCCACCGTCTGCGAATGCATCCCTTTTACAAACCCACTCCTGGTTCTTGTTCGCGCTGAGGCGGGTTGATCCAACAGGGTCAGCAGTATGTATTATTGATCGTTATTATTCTATTCTTTAATGTTTCTTCTTCAATTTCTTTCTTGATTCCACCACACTTGACGTTCTCTACAGTTTTCTTTTAATTTTTTGTCCTATTGATGCATTTTTTTTTTGTTCATTGTGGCATTACTTGTCCAACCATTGACAATAATTCACAAACAATATTGTTCTTCTTTATATTCTTTTCTACAGTTTTCTATGAATTTTTTGTCCTATTGATGCTTTATTTATTCATTTGTTCATTGTGGCATTACTTGTCCCACCATTGATAATAATTCACAAACTGCAATATTGTTCTTCTTTATATTCTATTCCCATTCCCATTCCCATTCTTGGATTGGCATATGCTGACAAGTACCATAAATAATGATATAATGTGACAATATTACTTTCTGGCCATTTTTTTGTTTTTGTATTCCTTATGTTTACTTCTGTTTGTTATCATATATAGAATTAGTTGGAGATTGTTTTCGTCATGTCAGAAATTAGTTAATGATTTCAAAAGTTAGATTCACATTTCATCAAGTATGCATCATTGCTAAAATCATAAACATGCAATATTTACTTCATGTTTATAGCAAATGGCAAAAATTGGATTTATTTTCCTTTTCTTTTTCTCTTATTTATTTATTTTTCTGGTTGACATTACATAATTGTTTGAGGATCAAATTGCTTACTTTGTAACCGTTGACTGATGAGGTCCAATTTTCTTTCCCTGCTTGCATATAGGATGACATTACCAATATCGAGTCACTGAAACTTGGGGCAGGAATTGTGACTGCAAATACAATAACACTTGTGATTGCTGGTTTCCGAGCAAGTTCTAACATTGAGAAACTGAGGAATTCCTTCAATATCACCATCACACTTCTCACTCAAATCAGTTTGCCTTGCAGTGCATCTGTTCATGAATCTGATCGAGTGGTGAAGGTTTGTGCTTGCTGTCAGTGGCGATGAACTTTCATTGCTAGCTCTTACTGCTTTTTGTTATATACCATTAGAATTAGTGTCATGTTTAAAGGAAGACGAGGTAGTGATACATAAATGCCGCTGAACTGATAAGTTAGAACAAGGGATGACAGACCTGCATATGTAAGTAGCTTCAACTGTGGCTTAAATTACATGACACGGTTCATGTGGTCTGTGATATTACTCATAATTTAATGTTCTATTTGCAGATGTATATATATATATATATATATATATATATATATATATATATATATATATATATGTATTGATGGTTCGTTACAAAATGCCGAGCATATAAACGTTGACACTTCCGAGTGTCCTGTTTGTAGGACTACCAGGGTTTACGGGGCAAATCCCCTGCTGTTCATTACCCTGCAGTCCCCTGCTGTGAGCTGATGAAAGGCCTTAGTTGGCGACGTCTGCTTCAGTTTGTAATATGTCTGTGGGCTCCACTAAAATGGTGCAAAACACATTATTCCGTTAAATCTGCCATCCATTAACTTATATTGTAATTTATTACATAAAAAGAAAAAACAAATACTCAAAAAGCTAACCCTATTGACAAAAGTTAGCCCTAAACCAAGATAATCTGAGAAAAGACGAACCCCTGCAAAAAAAAGAAAACGAAAAAGAGGCGGCCAAAGAACCCTAAATTCTTTGGGTTTCGAACAAAGAAATGAAAGTCAAAATTCAGCGGGTTTGTTGGTCGCGATCTTCGCCGGCCTTGGTTTGCTTGCCGTCAAATTCCGACGCCGTGATTCTGGGTTCTTCTCTGGCCACGGTTTGCTTCGCTATCTTCACCGGCCTTGGTTTGCTTGTCGTCAAATTCTGGCGCCTTGATCTGGGTTCTTCTCTGGCCACGGTTTGCTTCGCTATCTTCGCCGGCCTTGGTTTGCTTGCCGTCAAATTTCGGCACCGTGATTCTGGGTTCTTCTCTGGCCACGGTTTGCTTCGCTTTTGTGTTTCTGTTTAGCTGAGTCGAATTTACTCTTTTTTTAATGCTCTTAGATGCTGGTATTTTTTACGAATAAGAAGGTCACAGTTATGATTACTGTTGATATGATTTATTGTCTAAATTTTATCTGCATTTGTAAATTTAATTAAATCTTTACAACTTGCTTGTTGAATTCAGTTTTAATATTTTTACTAGTGAGGCAAAATTGATTATATTTATAATGGTGATGAAAAGTTCACCATTTAAAGTGTCAGAAAAATCTAAGTAAATGTGGTGGTTGAGAAAACCTCTAGGATGAGTGATGGATTGCCCCTGACAAGGTCATGAGTTGGTGACAAAGAAAAGAGTAGTTCATAATTGAGTAGCTTTAACAAGTCGAGTTAATCAGGAGAACTAAGAATTTAATTGGAAAATATGGTAAAGCTAAGTTTATGTATCGTGTATTGGCATATTTTGTGTTACTCTACCACATCAAGTTCCAAATTTTAATTTTATTCTATGTGTAAGGTCATTCCACCAGTAGCTTGGGGGGCTCATTGTTTCTAGTATGTCATTAGATTCAATCACAGAATATTAATGTACTTGGTTTCTCAAGTACCCTAAATCACTTTGAAACTTGCTGTAAATGAAGAGTGCAACTGCAGCAATATAAACCTGTTTAAGCATCGAACCGATCAGTTCTTTGATTGGTCATTGAGCACTTTCTTGTTAAGTTTTGAACAATCTAAAACGTGTAGCTTTCACAGGAATTCGACTTAATTTGACAGTGCTGATCGTTTTTTATAACTAAACACCTTTAAAAAGAGAGAATTTGTAGATTTGATGTCATCAGAATGTTACGAATTGGGTTGTTAAACTGGTGAGTTGTGTTATCTAGATGAGAATGTCAATGATATTGACTATAATTATTTTGGTTGGATTATTTAGTTCAGCTTGACAAATTTTTAAACATAATTCATTATTTATTCTTGAGAGGAATTCTATCAGCAATAATAGAACTCTCACATTGTTGTTAATTTTTAAATACTCAGATTAATCAAGAATACTAAGGTGGCTGTGATGATTAAAATCATTCATAGAGCTACAGTCTTCTGTGTATGTGTGTGTGTGAGCGTAATCCAAATAGTTGTATTTACAAAGGTATGGCAGATGATGTAGCTTCAATAGAAATGGATTTGGGTGAGAGTATGGTTGTGCATAAAACATAAATTTTATTTTATTTTTCCTTTTAAATTGCCACCCCAGCCCTCTCCTTTTGTCAAAATTAAAACAATGTCCTTTGTAGGTTTGTTTCAACTAAGATCAAGGCATGTTAAAGTTGAAACAGTGCCATTTTTTTATGTCTCTTTCAACTATGGGGAGAACATGAAAGATGAAGATTGTGTTTAAGTTTGTGGTTATACTATTACCAACCAAATTAGATTCTCCCTTGTAGCATTGTCTATGTTTAATTTCATTTAATCAAATTTAATTAGATTTTTTGTGGATATCATAAGCATACAAAGGTGTGTTCGTATGTATATATACTCTAATCTGGTGTAACCTTAAATCTTGTCACATTAGTTTATCAGTTCTTCTATTTAAAACAAAATTCTAACTGACCCATTTGATCTAATTTTAAAGGATATAAAACATAAATCTCTTTTAGCCAAAAATATGTATGACTATCACAATATCATAGCCCATTGAAGTCTAGGATAGTGTCCCCATTGTCATTACTATCTCTGTCCACCATGCACCATGTCATACCCTATATGATCTTTTCCTATATCCTACTAAAAAGCCGTCTCCTATAAAGATATTTCCCTTCGTATGGCATATCTTAAATAAATTCATCCACATTTCCTGAAATTGCGATTTATCAATGTTCATCTATTTCCATTTGGACTTGGATGCATTAACACTAATTATAATAAATATATTTTCTCGCATTATGAATTGTGAATCTTGTGAGAAAAAAAACCCTTAATGTAGTATTTAACTTAGAATCATTGGCTGGATGGCTTAAGCAGAATTATCACTATCAGTAGTATTTAACTTAGAATCATTGGTTGGATGGCCATTGAAGAAATCATATGCCGACTACTTTGGTGGCTGGTTTCGTCCCATGTAGCTGTATCAAATAAACAAGATCATAGCAAGAGCTATAATCAACCCACCTCCTGATCACTTCTTCATCTTCATAAACTTCTTGAATCTCAAATATTATGTTCAACAAACTGTTTAACTCTTCAATTGTATAACTAACAAATAAGCATAGCATATAGTGGATCCAATGATTCGCCATTTTTCGCAGTCATCTTCTTTTTTCTAGTCCATATATAGATAACCCCTGCCATGATATTTCTTCAAAAATTTAAAAGAAAATCACAATGTTCATAACCCATAAGTAACCAAGCAAAAGGAAGTAAGAAAATGCTAATTTTCTTCTACATCACACATATACATAAATATAAACACAAATAAAAGCATGGACATAATTAGAAATATTGTGAAAAATCATAAATGCACAAAATTTGAAGTCTCCCGTTGCCTTTCGTTTCTCCTGTCGCCTTTCCCTAATGGATTGAAGTCTCCTGAAAATTTGGTTAATATTTTGAAGTTGCATCTTCAATTCTTGAATATTACATTGATAGAACGGTTCAACACTTTTATCATCCAAGTTGAATATACCCATATCGTGGCCCCCGTACAAGTAATCCTCATCCATTCGATCCCAGTAATCGTCAGTGAAGTGAATTGAATTTGCCTTATATTCTGAAAAATCGTGAGCAGAGAGTGACATCGAGTGATTCCCACCCAAAAATAACATGCAATTGCTTAAAGATTTTACCTCTACCCACTTCTTTTGACCAAATTCCAACTTATAAACTTTGAACTGCAATGTTTTGTATGGACAAACCATAAGCACTGTATAAGATAGTTCCAAAACAATATAGTCATTTTGTTCAGCTGTCTCATGCCGAATAACTAATGTCACACATATATTTAACTCAACTCAACATAACCCTACATTCACTCTAAAAATTAGGTAGTCATATAGTGCGAACAAACTAATGTCACACATAAATTTAACTCAATTCAATATATTATTTGAAATTAAATTTTGCGATTAACTCATTTTAACTCGACTCCCCACTGCATAACCTCTGCAAGCTTCAAGCATGGTCTTTATGGAATCTGACATTACTCACTGAACACCAAAAATATCGGCCATCCATCCTTAGCCATAGGACAATGAAAAAGGAGATAGTTCATTGGGGCACAAATCCTCTGCTGTCCCTTTTCCTACGGTCCCCTGCAGTGCAGTTTATTGTGGGCCCAAATTGGCCACGTCTCATTATTTTTGGAAACATAATGAAAATAGATGATCATGTCTTAATTTTTTTTTATTCCCATGTATGAAAGAAATAATAAATTTAGTTATTCTCTATAACTGAATCATGGAATTCTTTTATAGTGTTCCAATTACTTTCGTACCAAACAAAATACTTGATGTTTAAAAAAATTACGAAAAGAACCACATCTGTTTTTTTTTTTTTTTTTTTCTTTCTTCGAAATATTAAAAATTCAATTACATAAAAGTGAAAATTGGTGACAACCAAATACCTCATAATCCTTTTCAAAATCCTCTTTAAATTAACATGTGACTGTGTTTTTTTGGATGCTTTTTTTATATGATAAAATTTAACTTTTAACTTTAAATAAAATATAAATATTATGATCTTTTAAGCTTGTAACTTTTAACTTTTAAGCTTCTAAATTTACTTAAAGTCTTATTATGATCTCTGTTTTTATAAGTGCAATATCTCATTATGAACTCATAGTCTAGGAACATCGAATGGGAAGGATTAAGCATGTGGCCAAGCGCGCTGAAAAAAAGGAAAAAAATGCAGCAAAAGCTAAAGGAGATGAACAAAAAAAAAAGATGTGGCATCCAAACGCGATGGAAAAAGAATTGCTTTAGATAGTGAAAGTAATTGTGATGATGCTTCATACTCTCCTTCTGCCAGTTCTCCATCTCAATCATCAAGTAGTAGCGATGAGATTGAAAGTGGAGGTCATTTAAAGAGTAGAAAAGTTATTTGTCAATCAAGACAAAGTGAGAGTTTGAAAAACACTGTAGGAAGTTCAAAACTGAAGCGGAAGGGACGAACTGTAAGCCATCATGGACCTTGCTTATTCAAATTTAGGTATATTTTCAAAACCCTGATTGACAATGAGATCAAATTATTATAAATTTCATGTATTCTGTTATTATTTTAAAAAATTTCCTATTTGTAATGATAAATTATGTTGTTTCCATATATTTTTTATTGAAGTTATTGATTCGATTAATACAAAAATTTGATTAGAAAGAAATAAAATAAGAAAATATTGAGACAAAGGTACTGAATATATATTGATTAGAAAGAAATATAATAACTCAATATATATATATGTATATATATGTATATATACAACAATGCTTTGAGACTAAAGTACTGAATATATATTAGTATATAAGTATGTACATCACCATGTTGAATTGACTTAGATTTATGAGTGACCATTAGTTTTTCAGCACTATGTGAATACCTTAATTAGATTATGAAGGTGTTGAGTGTGGCAATTAATAATAAATTTTGCCAAATTTTTTCTTTTGACGGTGACGATGAAGGTGGTGAGTGTGACAATTAACATTAAACTTTGCCCAAAATTTTTCAAAGATATGTTAAATAATTTATAGCTAAGTGTATGTTTTTTTTTAATATTTGTAAGAAAAAAACAAAAAAATAGATGTCGCTTTTTTCATTATTGCACTTCAGAGGATTCGCACCCATTTAAAAAGGCACTTGCAAAATTGTTTGTGCTGGAACTCCAGATTGGCAGGCCAATTCCACATCAATTGCTTGGGCAACACTTATTCTTCGTTGTGATGGCATCATATGTGTGCATTCTTCAATTATCATAGGATGATTGCGAGATTCGACAAAATTATATACAACATACTTTCCCTTCTTGCGGTCATATCTAATTTGCATCAGTGCACCACAATCGGTTCGAGTTTCAGCCTTGGGCTTTCTTGTATGGATATCCCTCTTGTCCTTCACCCTAAAACCTTGTTTGGAACACACAAACTTGCTTGTTGTAATATTTCCTGTCTTACGGCTTTTATTTGCATAATCCTTACGAATACTGAATCCAACTTTACCCCCATAAGCATTGTAAAAGTCGTATGCTTCATCCTCAGTGTCAAACTGCATGTTCAATTTTGGTGTGAATTCTATGTCAATGGGATTGACAACTTCTGCTACTAAGTTTTCAGAAATATTGATTTTGGCAACGATTGGAACGCTTGTTCTCACATCATTAGTACTTAAGTCGTCGTCCATTGGGATAACTTCAGTATGAATGCTACAAGAAGAAAAAGGTCCATCAAAACGTTAAAGTTAGTTTCTATAACTTGTGACAAAAAAAAAAAAATACTAAATATTTACCGAACTAATGAAAAGGGCCAAAAAATCGTACAATTATCCAAGATTTTAGATACACTAGAATGCTTAACCAATGTCAATTTCAAGTAAAAAAATATCATAATTTACACTAACGAATGACAAATGAAAGAATTAAAAATTGTTATATTTAGGTGTGAAATTAGTTTTGCAGAACTGTATGAATAACTTAATTTAATGGTGAAGGTGATCAGTGTCCCTACTTATTAAACTTCATAATGTTTTTTTTTTTTTTTTTTTTTTTCTCACAAATATCACATAATAACCTGTGAAATGTGTAATTGCCGCATACATGAGAAGACAAAATATTTGGATAACACATTGATACCTAATGAAGCCAACTCAGTTAAAAAAAATAATTATGGAAGATTTTACATTCACTAGAATGGTTATTGAAGATTATAGAAGAAAATCCTACAATTATCCAAGATTTCAAATACGCTAGAATGCTTAACCAATGTCAATTTCAAGTAAAAAAATATCATAATTTACACTAACGGATGACAAATGAAAGAATTAAAAAATGTTAAATTTAGGTGTGAAATTAATTTTGCAGAGGTGTGAAATTAGTTTCCAGAACTGTGTGAATAGCTTATTTTGATGGTGAAGGTGATCAGTGTCCCTACTTATTAAACTTCACAATGTTTTTTTCCTCATAAATATCACATAAAAACTTGTGAAATGTGTAATTGCCGCATACATGAGAAGACAAAATATTTGAATAACACATTGGTACCTAATGAAGCCAACTCAGTTAAAAAAAAAAAAAACAATTATGGAAGATTTTACATTCACTAGAATGATTATTGAAGATTATAGAATAAAATCTTACATTTATCCAAGATTTCAAATACACTAGAATGCTTAACCACTGTCAATTTCAAGTAAAAAAATATCATAATTTACACTAACGGATGACAAATGAAAGAATTAAAAAATGTTAAATTTAGGTGTGAAATTAGTTTTGCAAAGGTGTGAAATTAGTTTTGCAGAACTGTGTGAATAACTTAATTTGATGGTGAAGGTAATCAGTGTCCCTACTTATTAAACTTCACAATGTTTTTTTTCTCATAAATATCACATAATAACCTATGAAATGTGTAATTGCCGCATACATGAGAAGACAAAATATTTGGATAACACATTGGTACCTAATGAAGCCAACTCAGTAAAAAAAAAAACAATTATGGAAGATTTTACATTCACTAAAATGGTTATTGAAGATTATAGAAGAAAATCCTACAATTATCCAAGATTTCAAATACACTAGAATGCTTAACCAATGTCAATTTCAAGTAAAAAAATAGCATAATTTACACTAACGGATGACAAATGAAAGAATTAAAAAATGTTAAATTTAGGTGTGAAATTAGGTTTGTAGAGGTGTGAAATTAGTTTTGCAAAACTGTGTAAATAACTTAATTTGATGGTGAAGGTGAAAGTGTCCCTACTTATTAAACTTCACAATGTTATTTGAATAACACATTGGTACCTAATGAATCCAACTCAGTTAAAAAAAACAATTATGGAAGATTTTACATTCACTAGAATGGTTATTGAAGATTATGAAAGAAAGTCATACAATTATCCAAAATTTCAAATACACTAGAATGCTTAACCATTGTCAATTTCAAGTAAAAAAAATATCATAATTTACACGAACGGATGACAAATGAAAGAATTAAAAAATGTTAAATTTAGGTGTGAAATTAGTTTTGCAGAGGTGTGAAATTAGTTTTGCAGATTAATTTGATGGTGAAGGTGATTAGTGTCCCTACTTATTAACCTTCACAATGCTTTTTTTCTCATAAATATCACATAATAACCTGTGAAATGTGTAATTGCCACATACATGAGAAAACAAAATATTTGGATAATACATTGGTACCTAATGAAGCTAACTCAGTAAAAAAAAAATTATGGAAGATTTTCATTTACTAGAATGGTTATTGAAGATTATAGAAGAAAATCCTACAATTTTTCAAGATTTCAAATACACTAGAATGCTTAACCAATGTCAATTTCAAGTAAAAAAATATCATAATTTACACTAACGGATGACAAATAAAAGAATTAAAAAATGTTAAATTTAGGTGTGAAATTAGTTTTGCAGAACTGTGTGAAGAACTTAATTTGATGGTGAAGGTGATTAGTGTCCCTACTTATTAAATTTCACAACGTTTTTTTTTCTTATAAATATCACATAATAACCTGTGAAATGTGCAATTGCCGCATACATGAGAAAACAAAATATTTGGATAACACATTGGTACCTAATGAAGCCAACTCAGTTAAAAAAAACAATTATGGAAGATTTTACATTCACTAGAATGGTTATTGAAGATTATGGAAGAAAATCCTACAATTATCAAAGATTTCAAATACACTAAAATGCTTAACCATTGTCAATTTCAAGTAAAAAAATGTCATAATTTACACTAACGGATGACAAATAAAAGAATTAAAAAATGTTAAATTTAGGTGTGAAATTAGTTTGTAGAACTGTGTGAATAATTTAATTTGATGGTGAAGGTGATCAGTGTCCCTACTTATTAAATTTCACAATGTTTTTTCTCTCATAAATATCACATAATAACCTGTGAAATGTGTAATTGCCGCATACATGAGAAAACAAAATATTTGGATAACACATTGGTACCTAATGAAGCCAACTCAGTTCAAAAAAATAATTATGGAAGATTTTACATTCACTAGAATGCTTATTTATGATTGTAGAAAAAAATTCTACAATTATCCAAGTTTTCAGATTCACTATGATGCTTAACCAATGTCAATTTTAACTAAAAACTATCATAATTTACACTAACAGACGACAAATGAAAAGTGTGACATAAGTTAGTCAGTACTGTGTGAATAGCTTATTTTGATGGTGAAGGTGATTAGAGTCCATATTTGTTAAATTTCGCAATTTTTTTTTTCTCATAAATATTAAATATTAACCTTTGAAATGTCTAATTGCCGCATACATTTAATACCAATTTTTTTTTTTTGATAACACGTTCATACCTATTGAAGCCAATTCAATTCTTAAAATCAATTATGGAAGATTTTACATTCATTATAATGACAGATCGATGACAAATGAAAGAATCATAAATTTTCTAAATCTACACTGTTCCGTTCAAAACAAAAATTTCACTGTAAATGAACAATATATTAAATGCACAATATTAATAACATGTATTAAGACTTACCAACAATCAAGCATTAATTAGGTCAGGTCCATTGTAAATTTCCTTCCTGTAGATGAAGAGCTGACATTGCATTGAAGAAATCAGCACACTGCAATCTGGGTTTTGATTAAAAAAAGATAGTAAAAAAGTAAGAATAGAGGAGAGAGGAATTAGGGTTTTTAATAAAAAAGGAATTCAAAAGCAATATGATTTTTTTATGGAACAAAGAGAGACGAATAATTAGGGTTCTTAATAAAAAAGGAATTCAAAAGCAATATGATTTTTTTATGGAACAAAGAGAGACGAATAAGGGTTTGGATTAAAGAAATTAAAAAGAAACAATGAACAAAATGAAAAAGAAAGGAGGGAAATAACAAAACCAAAAGGGAAGAAAGGGAAAGTGCAAGTGCTGAAGCGCGGGGCGGTTAAATTTTCTAGCTTATTTCAACTTTCCTTCTTTTTTTTTTTTTTTTTTTTTTTTTGGCTTACAGTTGGCACGTTAAGTTACTATGCCGTTTATTGACTTCTTTTCCTTGTGCCAACCCAAATACGGTATTAATCAGCTCACATCAGGGGACTGTAAGGTAATGAATAGTAGGGGATTTGCAAATGTTTAATGGGGGCAAATCCCCTGCTATTCATTAAGCACTGCAAGTCAGAATTCACTCCGATCCGAATGCATGACAACGGATCACTGCAAGATAGAGTATGCTTTCTAGTTTGTTCAGTAATTGGATCACCAATAAATGAATAGCCTGCAGTCCCAACTCCAAGCCCAGTGTATTTGTAGGCCTTAACCCAATGCCCCAGTGTCTTTTCCAAAGCCCAGTTGCTAACTCAATTTTATAAGCGAACCCAGCTTTTGGCAACGGATTTCAAAATTAAATGGGTGGTCAAGTATCACTACATAATTAATTCAAATAAATTAAGCGAAAGCGAATTTGAGAGAAAAAGCTCAAAAATGACAAAATTTAAATCACACATAGTGGGAATGGAAGCGAGAACACGCGCGAAGCGTGAAAATAAGAATGCACTCGGAGTGTAAGAGCACGCGCAAAGCGTGAGAGTGAGAGTGCGTTTGGAGTGTAAGAACGACACCCATTAAGAAGAATTATCCAACTTAGTCACATAATAGCTTGACATTTTGCTACAATGGTACTCTTGTTAAAGTAATAACAGTCCTTCCTCCAATTTATAACCTCCAACCTTGCTTGGTTTGATTTACCCTTTACAACATATTCATGGAATACAATTTAGTTACTTTCAAGTCTCATGCTAAAGAGCTTGGAGGTATCAATCCTCCCCAAGCAAGGCATAATATTGTGAGATTGTTCATTCAATGAACAGTTCAATAATATCAATGCATGCTTCAAATTAGTACTAATATAGATTTGTTGACATACCTTACTTTTAGTATAGATTTGTTGAAATACCTTCAAACATATATGTATATCAGTAGTGCTACAGAGTGAGCCCGCGAGCACGAATCTCTTGGGATCATGTTGACTTATTACAAATAAAACATAAAGGCATTACATAGTTCTTTCATAAATAAAAATAAATTACATATAATCACCTTCTGAATTTTAGACACATTAGTGAAAAGAAAAACACACACACACACACAGAGTTATACACATCACCATTAAGGAAAAAACAAACATGCTACCTTTCTTTTACTACAGTTTTGGTACTGTACTGGTAAATTATAAGTCGAATTTAAGGAATTTTCAAAATGCTTCACAATATCTGATTTTTGTTTGGGTAATTAAAAATTGCTGGAAAAATTCCAATTTGTTTTCACTACCCTGTCCCTTCTTTAAAACGGGTGGGAGAACTCCGTAACCAAACAAGCTTCCAACGGCCAACCATATGAATAGTTACAAAAAAATCTGAGCCAAACTTCAGTCTCGTCTCATGAAAGATGCAAAGTTTCGAAGTCTAGGCCAACGAAGCCAAGAACTACTTCATATCATCTCGAAAGCTTTATCTTCAGCAACGAACTCTAGAGAGCTCCACAAACTTCATTCACTGATAATCACATTAGGACTCGACCAGTCGGCCTTCTTTTCTGGCAAACTCATTAGCAAGTACGCCAAATTCAGAGATCCACTTGCTTCTTTATCAGTTTTTCGCGGAATTTCACCAACTAACAATGTTTTTCAATGGAATTCAATCATACGAGCACTTACCCATAATGGGATGTTCTCTGAGGCTTTGGATTTTTATTCACAAATGCGGAAGTTGAAGCTTCGACCTGATACATACACCTTCCCTTCGGTTATCAATGCATGCGCGGGCTTTTTGGATGTTGATTTGGGTAGGCTTGTTCATGATCGTGTTATGGAAATGGGTTTTGGCTCGGATTTGTATATTGCCAATGCTTTGATTGATATGTACTCGAGATTCAATGATTTGGATAGAGCGCGTAGTGTGTTTGATGAAATGACTCACAGAGATGTTGTTTCTTGGAATAGTCTGATTTCGGGGTATAGTTCAAATGGGTATTGGGAGGAAGCTTTGGAAACTTATCATTGTTCAAAAGTTGCTGGCGTTGTTCCAGATTCTTTCACTTTGTCCAGTGTTTTACCTGCATGTGGTGGTCTGTTTGCCGTTGAAGAGGGCCAGATTGTTCATGGGTTGGTTGAAAAGATTGGTGTTAAGAGTGATATCATCATCAGTAACCTGCTTCTTTCTATGTACTTCAAATTAGATAGATTAGCAGATTGTTGGATGATATTTGATGAGATGGCAGTTAGAGACACAGTCACTTGGAATACTATAATTTGTGGGTATTCTCAAGCGGGCTTGTATCAAGAGTCAATCAAGTTGTTTCTAGATATGCTTCATAAATTTGAACCAGACCTATTAACAATTACATCTGTTCTCTATGCTTGTGGTCACATTGGAGATTTAGAATTGGGAAATTATGTCCATGAGTACATGATGAGAAGTGGGCATGAATGTGATACTACAGCAATTAATATTCTTATTAGTATGTATGCGAAGTGTGGTGATTTATTGTCTTTGTGGGAAGTTTTTGACAGAATGAAATGCAGGGATTTGGTGTCATGGAACTCTTTGATTAATGGTTATATTCAAAATGGACATTATGAGGAAGCAAAGAAGATTTTTAAGATGATGAAAATGGATTTCAAACCCGATTTTGTCACCTATGTGATGCTTCTATCTATGTCTACCAAGTTAATAAACACTGATCATGCGAAGGAACTCCATTGTGAGATAACAAAAATGGGACTTGATTCAAGCTTAGTTTTGGGAAATGCTCTTGTGGATATGTATGCTAAATGTAGCGGAATGGAGGATGCACTAAAAATATTTGAGGGCATGAAAACTCGTGATATTGTAACATGGAATACTATTATTGCTGCATGTCTTCATTCTGAGAACAGTAGTTTAGGATTCAGGATGATCAGTAGAATGAGAACAGAGGGGATGGTGCCGGATGTGGCAACCATGTTAGTTACCTTGCCCATGTGTTCCTTACTTGCTGCCAAACGTCAAGGAAAGGAGATCCATGGCTACAGTTTCAAGTTACGGTTTGAGTCACATGTTCCAATTGGGAATGCACTGATTGATATGTACTCCAAATGTGGTAGTTTGAAGAACTCACTCCTAGTATTTGAGCAAATGAAAACAAAAGATGTAGTGACATGGACAGCATCAATCTTTGCACATGGGATGTATGGTGAAGGAAAGAGAGCTCTGAGAGCTTTCAAGGAGATGGAAGCAACAGGTGTTATTCCTGATCATATTGCTTTTCTTGCAATCATATTTGCTTGTAGTCATTCAGGTCTTGTTGCAGAAGGCCGGGCTTGCTTTGACCGGATGAAGAAAGACTACAACATTGAGCCAAAGATTGAACATTATGCTTGTATGGTTGATCTTCTATCACGATCTAGGCTATTCGCTGAAGCAGAGGAGTTTGTTCTTTCCATGCCATTGAAGCCAGATGCAAGTATATGGGGAGCTCTACTTAGTGCTTGTCGAGCAAGTGGAGACATAAAGATTGCAGAGCGTGTGTCTGAACGTATCATTGAATTAAATTCGGATGATACTGGGTATTATGTTTTAGTATCAAATGTATATGCAGAATTAGGGAAGTGGGATCAAGTGAGAATGATAAGAAAATCTTTGAAAGCTAGAGGACTGAGAAAAGACCCTGGATGTAGCTGGATGGAGATTCGAAACAGGGTTTATGTGTTTGGCACTGGGGATAGTTCCTTCGAACAACATGAAGAGGTCAATAAGTTCTTAGAGATACTTGCTGGTTTAATGGCTAAGGAAGGTTATGTTGCTGATTTACAATATGTTCTTCATGATGTTGAGGAGGATGAGAAGAGAGACATGCTCTGTGGCCACAGCGAAAGGATTGCTATAGCATTTGGATTGTTAAACACGAAACCAGGCACACCTTTGCAGGTGATGAAGAATCTTCGGGTCTGTGGGGATTGTCACACTGTGACTAAGTTCATATCGAAGATTACGCAACGAGAATTATTAGTTAGAGACGCCAATCGCTTTCATTTGTTCAAGGACGGAATCTGTAGTTGTGGGGACTACTGGTGATGATTTCTTTACACAGCCACATTTGATTGACTGAAGAAGGTCGTCTGCAATGAAAAAATCTATTATCCATGCGCCGTATGGAACTTCAAAGTGGTGGCTGAAGGTCAGACTGGCTTGACATTTGGCTCATCCTCTGTTTGGTGGAAGTTAGTTGGAATGTTTCTTATATAACTGAATTTGCAGTTTTTTAGTTGCAGGAATAGTCATAAGCATCGGCACCAAGTTAATTATAAAACCTTAGGTCAACCATGTTATGTCAATCATCTGGTAGATGTTTTTCACTCTTCTTATATAATGTATTTTTTTCATAATTTTGTGAACTATATGGAGTTAAGGATTTTTATTTTTTATTTTTGTCTTTTTGTTCTGTTAATTAGACTTTAAGTTTTAAAATTTGAAACAACTTACTAATGTATTTTCTCTGCAGACAAGGTGGCTGTTTCAATTGGATGCTGTATATTTCCCGAAGGTATACTTCGATTGCTTTATTGCTGTTTATTGCTACTGTCAATATCCTCTCTAAAATTGATTAATGACTTTTTTAATTTTGCTTTGCAAATGCTTTCTTTATTTATTTTTGGGAAATTGAAGAGATATTTTTTTGTCAAATTATTTTTCTTCGATTAGCCATTGAAGCTTTTGAAAATAAACTATATGCTCGTCATTCCTAAAGCAATTGATATTTTAATATTTCATTTAGTAAGATTGATAAACAGTCTAGCCAAAGGACAAAAAAAGAAAAGAAAAATACAAGAACGTTTTAAAAAATAGAATTAGTAAAACCCCATACCTCCAAAAAAAACTCACACTGGTGTCGGTGAATCAATATATACATATACATATATATATATATATTCATTCTGTTGAAACACCTAAGGGTATGATATGCGCAAAGAATTTGACAATGCAAGATTAATAGAGAGGATTTCAAGAAAAGAAGAAAAGAAAAAAAGAGATAGCAGGGAAACCATGTTTCTTTTCTCCTCCTTCTATTTTTTTATTTTTTATTTTTATTTTTATTTTTTTCCGGGTAGAGTGGAAAATTTTACCCAGGGAAAAGGAAAAAAAAAAAGAAACATGGTCTCTCTACTATTCTATAAAAATGTGCAAAATCCAAATCATAATAGTTTTTCTCTTTATAATATCTGAAACACACTCTCCATCTAAATTGCTGGCTTAAAATCTAGGGAAAATATATAAATTTCTTTTTGGGTAGTCAAGAGGGAGTTAGTTACTGACTAGTGTGGTTAGAAGGTGAAGATGGTGGTCAACCATTCCAAGGGAATATGGACACCAGCATTAGTATTTCCACCATCATGCCTTGCTAGCAACCTATCTAGCATCTTCAAACTTAGTAGGTTTTCCATCTCCACTCTTAAGTAATTTCATTCTTTATTGAAAGAGACAGTGAAAGGTTATCTTTATTCTCTGAAGCTTTGCAGAGTGACAGAGAGAGTGGAGTGATTGGATCCTTATTATTAATAATGCAATCACATAATCAATTTATTAGTACATAATCAAACTCGAGCAGTAAAACAGGACATAGTCTTGAGTCTTGACACAAATGATCATTCCAATATGCAAAGTTTGAGTACAAAGACTACCGATGCTAAGTGTTATGCCCTAGTTGACAACACTGGCCTAGCCACTGATCGATTGCATCTATGCAAAAAATTTCTTCCGCTAGTTATTCACTTCTTTCTGAGTCTAGCTGCTGCCTCTTGCACACCTCATAGTCTACAAAAACTGACCTCACAACATCATTTACACATTAATCTCCAGCAATCTTAAATAGGAGATGATGTGGTTTGCCTATCGTTTATGCATGAGATTCCATGGAGAGTAGATCACTCACATAAAATATACCTCTTTAAGTTTGTTTTGATTATTCTTTGTTCTCCCAATTTAGAGTATTCTCAGTCTCTGATGCATTGTTATATTTTGGATGAACCTCGAGCTCTATTTTTAGTTTTGGAGAGTGTGCAAATAATTCAGTAACTTCAGAAGTTTCAGCAAGTTTTACTGACTACTCTATACTTGATTCATTGAGCTTATAGTTTGACCAATCAAGTGCTTACTGTTGGTCAGTCAACAATGATTTTGATTGGTCAAACAGCTACTGGACAAACCTTGACTCTTCCAAGCTTTGGCTCTATCGATCCAACCTTCCTAATCAATCCTTGCCAGAATAGAAATTGGTGTAGGCAAATTTTGGAATAAAAGTTGGAACCTGTACTTTTTGTGGTGTTCTAAGAATTAAGTTTCTTTAGTTAATTAGTGGTGATATCTATGTCCAAGTGCAGAATCCGATTTTGAAGATACGTAAAGGGAAAAAATGTAATATCATCTCTTGAGTAACTAATTCACCAATTAGGGTTCACACTCATACATTCTTATTTTAGGGCACAATGCATACATGTTTTGATTTATGAAAAAGATGTTTTGAATGCATGTATGCATTGTTCCCTAAAATAAGAATGTATGAGTGTGGACCCTAATTGGTGAGTTAGTTATTCAAGAGATGATATTACATTTTTTCCCTTTACGTATCTTCAAAATTGGATTCTGCACTTGGACATAGATATCAACACTAATTAACTAACTAAATAAACTTATTTTAAACTGTAAATTTTTACAAAAACCGTAAGCCTCCATTGATATGTCGATAGGTAAATAAAATTTTACATAAGTTTTATCGAAGTTCAAAATACTTTGATTGATCGAAGTAATGCCAGTATGGTTCAATTGATAGCTCGATCATCAACCTCTGCACGAACTGTTTTGGAAACTATCTCAAATCAAAATTCTAAAAGGTTTAACAACCTTTTTGGTTCGGTTTTTTAAAAGCAGTTTTATGTATTTAGAGAAATGAAAATCAGAAAACAGTACATAATTGTGTTTGGTTGACACTTTTCTGAAAATTCATTTTAAAAAGGTTTGATTTTAGAGCACGGTATTTTTATAGTTCTCTGGAAACATTTTTTAGTTTTTTAGAACTGCTTTTAGAAGACTGAACCAAACATGCCTTTTGTTTTCCTTTTCTGATTACAACTAAGAGACTAATATTTTGGACAAAAAGCACTATATAAACACCTCTAAGCTCTCATAATACACAGAGAGATGTAGATATCTCTCTACACATTATTAAGAGAATACATACAATCTAGAGAGATCTTTATATAGAGCATCTAAACACATAGAGTGCATATTTTTCTTTTCATCATCTAGTATGTTGCATTAGATGGTGAGTTATTATTTTAGAGTATTGATCATTAACTTGTGGAGCTTAAATCGTCATCAACTCTGAAATCACGCAACATACTTAGAGAGTGGGCGTTCTAGTGTTGGAGATCAGAAGTCCATGGAGCAGACATTACTAGTATTGCATCGTGTTTGTATTTCGTATCTGTGTCCATGCTTTATAGATTGTTATTCATTTTCCAAAAGTATTGGTGAATTATAATTTATATATTATTTTCTTCCTTTATGTGGAGTTTCTGAATGCCTGGAGTCAAAAGAAGGGCGAAGGACTTGGGAATAGGGTGCAACAGGTAGGTTTCTCTCGTCTCAAACAATGTTGCACTGGCAGTTTTATCTTTTCCAAAAGCCCCATTTCTTAGAAATGTAAGACAGTTCTTTGAATTTATTTTATGTTGTGAAGGCACTGAAAATTTACTAATCTTGCAGATAAATATAATAGCTGGTCTCAGAAATAATTTTTGCATGTTCTTTTTTGTTGGATTTATCTATTTTATGCTTTAGCTGAAGGAAATTGGGCACATGGATTTGTTATTGTTGATATCATCCTACTTGTATTGTATCACTTGTGGTTTTTCTCTGTTGATAAAAAAATAAAATATTGAAAAGAGAAATTAAGACTTTAACAACACAAGGATATATGTGGTTTGGCCACTACGGCCTAAAAAGCCCAAAGAGCTACGTCACTTTCATTGTATTTTCTCTTAATTTTTGTATACAATGATCACCTTTATATATAGGTTAAAGAATATAAACATGTGATAAATATGATACAGGAAAAATTCCTAAAATCACTCCCATTATTCACTCATATCAATATTCTGTAAGGAGGATTCTTTAATCACTCCTTTAACGAAATTCTCCAACAGCCCCTTCAAGTTGGTACACGGAGATTTTAACTCAAGTATCCAACTTGACACTAAATACGAAGTTGTCAAGGGTCCGAAACGAGTTGATCCAACTTGACACTAAATACAAAGTTGTCGAGAGTCTGTGATGAGTAGATCCAAGAAGAGTTGATCTGGAGATCCGAGACGAGTTGATCCAGAGATCCGAGACCAGTTGATCCAAAGATCCAAGTTGAGTAGAGTATAGAGTAGGGTATGATAAACCTGCTTTGATTAAAAAAATAAAATATTGGAGAGAGAAATTAAAAATGTAGCAACACAAGGATATACGTGGTTTGGCCACTACGGCCTACATCCATGGCACACAAAGCCCAAAGGGCTACATCACTTTCCTTGTATCATCTCTTAATTTTTGTATACAATGATCACCTCTATTTATAGGTGAAAGAATATAAACATGCGATAAATATGATATAGGAAAGATTTCTAAAATCACTCCCATAATTCACTCATATCAATATTCTGTCAACGAGTGATTCTTTAATCGCTCTTATAACGATATTCTCCAACATTCTCAAAACAGACCATATATGTTTACCATTATCAAACACCATACTTTGGATCCAATTTCTCATTCACCTGGAAACCGTTTTGAGTAAATAAATATACCACATTCATATACTCTCGAAGAGGAATGTGTTCCAATGTGGACCCACCTCAAAAGATTAGTGGGACCCACTCTAATTTTGACCCAAAGATGCTTGATTATCACTAGTTAAAAAACTAGTTTCCAACATGGTGATGCTTAAACTTGTCTCATCAGCACCACAATATTTATCTTCTAATAACTATATTATATCAGGTGCAAACAAATGAATCGTTTTAGGCATGAAATCAAGATCTGTAATTTCATTAGAAAATGTAAGATCACAATGTTAAGGTGAAAATTTTTAGTGCAAGATTCTATAGATGCAATTATGTTGCTAACTTTGAGTAGCTGAATGAGATTTGATAATGATAAAGACTCCTGCGCTTTGTTCATTGATAAAACAAAAGTCACAACTCACCCATTTATTAAACGTGTTAAACACTGCCCACTTATTATTAAAAACTTACTGGGAAAGAAAAAACAGACAGAAGCTTCAACTCCCAGAAGCAATTACTAGGGGCTTTGGCTCGCAAACAAACAAAACTTGGGGTGTGCCTCATATGATCTTCATTCATGTGATTGTAGGAACTTTGAAGTTTCGTGCAGGCTGTGTGAACTGGTTCATTTTGGTGCTGGTGCTGCTGGTGCTGCTGCAAGGCGTGTCTCACGCATAATTTGGTACTTGGTAACTAGCTTGTCTCGAGGTGGCCAGTTTTCTTTGATAACTGGAACTTCTGAGAAGTTTTTCATCCAGGCAAATATCAATGGGAACTTTTCTGAATCAACCAACTTAAAACCTATTACCTCTTCAATTACGCTGACCAAATTAGCCATCCAACCCAATGCAAGGTCTACAAATCCAATAGTCTCTCCACCGAAGAATTTTTTTCCTCTTAGCCCTTCTTCTATGAATTTCAGGTTCTCCATAACTGCAGGCGTAGCTTCCTCTTGCTCTTTCCCTTTTGTAAACAAAACATGCCGTACTGATGGTAAAAGCTTGACAGAAGAAGAAGTAGTGAATGTTTGGTTAGATGACAGTTTTAGAATAAACAACTTTGTAAGCCAGCTAGAAATGTTAGAAACACTGCTTAAAATAAAACGCAATGTCACTTTTATAAAATTTGAAAGTACTTTATGTTGGAAAGCTATATAAATCTAAATGATTTTTATGCAATTATATAGATACAAAAATATTTTTGATATTTTTGATTCAGGGCCAGACATCAAAACATATATGAGACTCGGGTTATTTACCTTATCGTCATTGAATTTAGCCCAGAAACGCGCCATGGCTTTCTCATAAGGATCTTTTGGCAATATGGGAGTGTTTTGCCATGTCTCCTCAATGTATTCAAGAATTACAAGTGATTCTGCAATCGCTTTTCCATCATGCACCAGCACCGGCACCTTTTTGTGAACAGGATTGAGCTGGAGAAGTAAAGGGCTCTTGTTGGTAAGATCTTCAAATATGGTTTCATATTCTATGCCCTTAAGTTTCAGTGCCCCAAATGATCCTCAGGGCAAATGGAGTTGACCATGTCCTGAAAAGCTTCAGTTCTGCCATTTTGGTTTGATGAACAAACTGTGATAGCTAGGTCCTTTATAGCCAACATTTTCTTTCTTTTCTGGTTTTTTTTTTTTTTGTTGGAATGTTATAACATATTCCTATATCTTTCTGTATATCTATGTAACACCTTGAATTTAAATAATTTACATTCTCCCCCTTGAATATTCAATATTTTCTAAACTTAATTTAATATTTGATATTAGGTAGTTAATGCTCAACAAGAGTGCGGGATTCTTATTTTAAACCTGTGATGATAATATATGGTCCAAAATTGTTATTTTATATACGTTTCTAACAATTTGTTGATTAGACTATATACGTTTTTAACCATTTGTTGATTAGACTGCACTGAGTTAATAGTTTGTTGAGAAATACATAAAAATGTTGAGTCCAAGGCCTAAAGCATAAGCTCCTATTTTGTGTAATTTCATGTTAATAGTTCATGACAACTTTGTTTTGATTTCTGAATCCATCTGCATCCATGGATGGTAACCGTGATAAATTTGTGTGATGTTGTGGTCTGAATTTTGTTTCAGTCCAGATTTTTGTCCAGAAAAATGATCTCTTGATTTTTGTATAGTGAATTTCTTTTTGTTTAATCTTCACTGTGGACGCAGCCCATGCTTTTAGTGAACCACGTAAATCTGTGTTTTTTTATGTGTGACGTGCTAACTTTTTTGTTGTGATTCTTGCTTTGTGCATGTTGATTCCAAGATGGTCATTGCTTTTTGGGGATCAAAATAGTATGCAGAATAAGATATCGTGTGGTGCACAGTACTCGTTTTAATTTTGAACTTTACCATTTCAAATTTTAAATTTCACTACTTTTATTACTAATAAATTTAAATTGGTAAAATTTCAGAAATTTACCGTTTAAAGAGGCTTATGAAAGTAGATGGATTCAGAGATAGTGGGGTCTGTCATGCTCTATTTTTAATCCTTGATGTTGGTTTGGATGCTCTGCTGTGTTTCCTTTTGAAATTCCCTTGTGTTTTTGGTGCCATTGTTGTTTGTTAGGTTTTATTTCAGCTAGTTTAGTCTTTCTTTTTTTGTTTGGTTACTGTGTTCAGTGTTGCTTTGTTTTGATGTTCTCTCTGGGGTATGTTTCCCTGTATCTTTGTATATTTATTTTTTTGAGTTAATGTTTATTCCTACTTATTGAAAATATATATATTAAAAAAAAAAAATTTACTGTTAAAAGTGATGAAATTTCAAAGTAAATGCGGTAAAGTTGCACTACAAGTACAGGGAAAAATAAATAAATAAATAAATAAATAAATGCATCAGAGAGAATTTTTATCTAATTGTGCTTGTTCTGTACCTAACTGTGATAGTATTGGTATTATTTAGGAAGAAATGGAATACGACTATTGATGGCATTTTTTTTCCTTCTTCTTCTTCTTAATTGATACTCACACACACGTTTCCACCGAGACTCGAACTTCTAATCTTTTTTTTAAAAAGTAAGAATTAAGTAGGACTAGGCCAAGGAAACTCATTCGTTCATCTAATTGGAAATTCTTCCTTTGAAGATGAAGGAGATTCGCAAAAGATTTTTATTTTTTATGATGGGAAACATGTCCTTGACAATCTACGTTCAATTTTATAATTTATTCAGTTATAGGGTCACCAAACCTGGTCTGGTCTAAACCATCCATTCCTAAGCATATATTCACACTTTGGGTTGCGATTCAAAATCGACTACCAACATTGAACAGAAGATGTACGTCACACGTCAATGTTACATTATGTACCCTCTGCAGATGTGAAACAGAATCCCATGATCATCTTTTCTTCAAATGCACCTATGTGAAGCCCTTATGGACATTTATTTAAGTACATTATGGGTTTCATATCCTACCTTCCTCAATGGCACAACTGATTACTTGGACGGCCCACCATTGGAATGGCAACTCTGCATTTCACAGCAATTCAATTTAAAAAATGTGTCTCACTTTTCTGGTATACAATGTTTGGAATGAACGTAATCGCAGAATCTTCAAGAAGAAATCTCTTTCCGCGAACTCATTCCTACACCTTACATTGGACTCTGTAAGATCTAACTTCTCACATCATCAATTTCTGATACAACAAATGCTCGAAGAACTGCAGATGAATGGGAATTGCCTGATGTGATCTTTCGGCCTCCACCAGAACCACCTGACCATACAACAAGATGGTGACGTTTAGAGGCAGTGATCTCTATGCATGGTTACTGGAATGCATAATAGTAGCCTGTAACAGTCACGTTTCTTCATTGTTTCAATGCTCTGTTTGGGTTTTTGGCCTTGCTTTGGTCTAATTAGGCCTCAGGTCTTGTAGTTTAGCCTTTGGCTAACACTGCCTATTCGGCCTATGTAATTTTTTCCATATATATATATTGCAAAATATAAATTTAAAAAAAAACCCCTTTTTCTCCTTTTTGTTTCTGGTTTATTCATTTCTCTCTCTCATATATTAGTCTTTATTCTTTCGGTTCCTCGATTCTTCTCATCTCTTCTCTCTTTGATTTGATTAGGGTTTACATGTGAAATCGAAGAAAAAACCATAATTAAAAGGGGGGGAACCAACAAGATGAGGAATTTTAATGCTCTGTTTTTCTGGAATCCACGGCCACGATTGTGCCTGACGGCATGGCTTGACCGAAAATCGGTACTGAAATATAAGGAGGCCGGTGACGAATTGAACTTCGAGCAAGGAGTACGGCGGCAACAACGAAGAAACGCAGTTCCGATGTTGGAATAACGTAACTAAACGGCAGCGATAGGATACTCTGGCGGGCAGTGAGCATCAGGTCTGAACTTACCTGTAGCGAGTCTGAACGGCGGCCGTAGTGACTACTCCGGCGATGATTAGGGACTACTCAACTTCGGCGATGGCTAACGATTACTCATCCTTGGCAACGACGGTCAGAGAGAATGCCGTTAGCAACTAAACAAACGTCGGCGACAACAATAGACCAGGCGAAGACGAAGGAAGCTCCGACGACTTCGAACGGCGGCGAGGTTGTGATTGGATGATCCAATTCTGGCGACCTTCGCAGTTGTTGGCAGCAGACAAGTGAAACCCAGATCCAATTTCACCATCATCTCTTCTTTTATCTCATCAAAGTAGTTTTATCCTGGCTTTGGCTTCGCCTAATAGGTTTATTTTTTGCAGCCGGTCTTTTAGAAAGAGAAAGTAACATGGATGGCGTGGCATGATTTATGGGGATGTCATGTCATGTCATGCCAAGTCTGATTTGGAGGAATTTTCGGTGATTTGGGTAGGAAGATATATCACGGTTCATTCATTAAATATAATTTACTTTCAAGATGCCTTATTAGTGAAATGGTAGACATGTGAGACTAAAAATCTTACGCTAAAGAGCATGGAGGTCTGAGATCTCTTCAAGCAAGGGATAATATTGAGATTGTTTGTTTAATGAGCAATTCAATAAGAGAGCTCAAATCAAATCACTATATGGAGGAATTGGATAAAAAAAGAAAAAGAAAAAAAAGGAGTGACTATAGCTAGTTGAAAGATATCTAATGAAATTATTGCTAGAAATGAGATAATTCAAAGATAAAAATATTAAATATATGAAGTTTCTTTTTGTATATCATATAGATGATCTGATAGGAAGGATATAGTTGGAATTATTTGATCGTCTTTATACGAGAATGGAGCGAAATAGAATCAACTTGAATATAGAATCAATATTCAAAATCTTACCAAAAATACTTAATATGTTATCTCATGCATGTCTGTTGCTTTCGATTCAAGAAGCCGAGTAGGCGGGTTGGTGTGAGTGGAGAGAAGAAAAAAAAAATTGAACTTAAAACCTTTTCTGGAGATATTCATTTTTCGGGAGAAACGGATAAGAAATCCAGACACAGGGAAAAAAAAAAAATTCAAAGGAATAAAAAAAAATTAAAAAATTGTATCTATGTCCAACGGATCACACTTACCAAGAAAAAATATTTTGTTTTGGTTTTACCTGTAGTGGCACATGAAATAATGGACGATATAAATTTAGCAACACTTTTTTGCCGGATCTATTGAAAATCAACACTTTTCATGACTTGCAAGGAAGATGAAAATCTAGCGTAAAATAATGAGATATTGAAAAGGACAATACTTAGGTCTTCGCTAGTGACGATGTACCCATGCTCATTGTTGATGCAGACCAATAGAAAAGCGGAAAATAATGAGATATTTAAAAGGATAATACTTAAG